TGCAGGGTCTAAGATGCTATTGATAGATCAGGAGATGAGAAATGAGATGACGTGGTCTGTGTGACTATAGTGTCCCTTTAAGCTAAAGTTGGTTTAATGCTATGTAGGTGTCAAAAGTAGCCCATGCTTCTTGTGCTAATGAGGAAGGAAGCATTAGCTTGGGCAGCAAGGGGTGGCTGTGATTGTCCAAGGACCTAGAGTGTCAGCTGACCGCTTACAGTGCATCACAGGCCCATCGCTGGTATGTAATCACTCTTAGCCATATCTCCAGTATGGGTGGGATTGTGGGTAGCTAGCGACTCTTGTTTAGCGTTAATTGTTTAAAAATGGTTAACTACTGAATGGAGGGACAGTGTCAAGGATTTCAATCACCATAACCTATTCAATGAGATGAAAAGCATAAAGTGCCTAGTTTCCCTTTTAAATCAGAATTTGAGCATTAAGATTTTTAGTTCCTTCTTGTTCTCAGTCATTTCAGGTCCCTTTCTAAGTTTTGCCTACCTTCTCTTTGACAAGGCAAGGGTAAAACAATTCTCGTCATGCTACTGCATCCACTTGCAAGATTATTAATTGAAAAAATTGTCTTCAACTGGGAGAATTTCAACATTTAGACCAAAATATCTGAAAAAATCAGCATCTCTGCGGGTTGTTTTTTTTTTTTTTTGTATTTTCAGCTAATTTATTTTTGCTTGGAATTTGCAATCTATTTTCAATATTATGCAAAAGTTAAATGTTTTTTTTGGCATTTGAATTTGACAGTTATAATCAGATAATAAAGATTTGACATCAGCACCATAACTTTAGTGTGTTAAATATAAACTGTTTCTTTGGTAACATGATCCTGATTTTATACTTTTTGTGGTAAAGTGTCAACTTTTTTTCTTTCTGCAGATAAAATCATGGGGGTCAAGGTTCAGCGTCCTCGTTGTTTTTTCGACATATCTATTAACAATGTATCAGGTAAGAAGTGCTCTGAAGTTATGATGTTGCCTACAATTTACTTGCCATATTCCCAGTTTTGGGATCATTCTGTAAACCAGGACGAAATTTGTATTTAAAGGGACACATAGTCACCAAAACCACTACAGCTTAATGCCAATGATATATAACTTGAAGTACCGAGGATTGCGTGACAACGAAGTAGAAACTGAAGTTGGCAAACTATAATCTCTCCGGTTTTATGCCATCTATAATATTGTAAAGCGGGGGGGGGGTGTTAAATTAATGAAAAATTTGAAGCTAAAATAGCAACTGTGAATGTTTTTTCAGATTAGCTATTTTTTGTCTGAATTTTGGTGAATAACACTGTTGGTCTAGAATACAGTTTTGATTCCTGGGTTGTTGTTGTTGTTATTTTTTATATAGCGCCATCACAGTCTGTAGCGCTGTACAATGAGGTTCATTTAAATATATTGTTTTTTTGCACTACAGCACCACAGGGCTTGTTTATTGCAAGATAATATATTTACTAAACAATTATTTATCTGAAAGACTTTTTCTAAAATGGAATAAACTGATTTTTTTTTTTTCTCAAGTTTGCTTGTGTAATAAAAATTCCAACTTTGTTGTCCACTAAATATTCCTGACTGTGTACTGAATAAATACCCCTGAAATTGCCCTCGAACACAACAAACTGTGAACATTTTAAAGTTATTTACTCTGTATGTTTTAGAGCCACTGTTTAATAACTATCTGATTTTTATTTTTTTCTTCTTCTTTAGTTGGGAGAGTTGTCTTTGAATTATTTTCAGACGTTTGCCCTAAAACTTGTGAAAATTTTCGCAGTCTCTGCACAGGTTTGTTGAACTACATTTCCATGTCCAGTCTACAGACATTGTACCTGCTATTTTATAGGAAGACAGCCTTAGCAATATCCACATTCCCCCCCCCTCCCTTTGTAAACAAATGTTCGTACTTCACCCATTAAAGAATAGTCCAAGCACCACCACTACCATGTGCTCTAACGGTTATGGTGCCTTGGAGCCCACCTTCTAAATCCTCGAACCATTTTAAAGCAGTCTGACTTCTTACCTGGGTGCAGGTAAAAGTGACAGCCGGAAGCCCGACTTAAGATCCTTCATTTGCACCTCCGGGTTTAGCAGGGAGCTTCTGGCTTTAAATGAGCTGTAGTGGAGATGGGGTGCAATGCTAGATGGAGCCCACATAAGACATCAAACAGGTTAGGTTCTGCTGGTAACTTAACAGCTTTAGATTGCTGGTACTGGGAAGACCAGGTATCTGTTGATATCTGGGGTTCCTGTGTCCGCGAGGACCACATTTAGTAGCATCACTGTGTGATCTGCAGGAATAGCACACAGATTTGTAGCATTAAATGGAGAGCTGTACTTTGTATGCAGGTGAATCCTTGCATTGGGGCTTATGGTTAGGTAGTTTCACAATTATTTACAAGTTATTTATTTAAAAAAAAAAAAAAAACACACACACACACACACACGACAGTGTTCCCTTTTCAAATGAACAGATAGGAAAATTTTGACATTGACTCATGGATATGAAAAAAAGAATGGATTCAAACACCCTCCCAGCATACCCCAATATTGTTCACACAGCCAGTTTCACTTTATGCAAATAATGTTGTTGTGTTTTTTTTTTTGTTTTTGTTTTTTTTAAATAGGTGAAAAGGGTATCGGAAAAAGTACCCAAAAACCCTTGCATTACAAAAGCTGCATATTCCACAGAGTTGTTAAGGATTTCATGATCCAAGGAGGGGATTTCAGTGAAGGTAAGCATCTGTTTAAATGAAAAGAAATATGCATTTGTATGTTCAAAGATGTTAACAGTTTCAAAATACTAAAAATGTGTTTGTTTTCTCCAGGAAATGGCAGAGGTGGGGAATCTATATATGGAGGATTTTTTGAAGGTAACATCTTTTCTTTATTTTATAAAGGTTCTGTAAACCATATAGAATGCCTTGTTTGCTGTGACACTCGCCATAGTGTTTTTTTTTTTTTTTGTTTTTTGTTTTGTTTTTTTTGTTGTTGATTTTTTTTTTTTTTTTTTTTTTTTTTTTTTTTTTTTTTTTTTTTTTTTTTTTTTTTTTTTTTTTTTTTCACTTTTGGTATTTCAATTAAACATTGTGCACGACAAATGAAATAATATTGCCATTATTTTCACTAAGAACCAGTTATACATACTTTAGACAAGTCCCTACTGCTATAGATGCACCATTATTCCCATGCTGCTTCTGCCTGAAATGTAGAGGGCTAATTGGTGCATTTTCCCTCTACAAATAAGCTAGATTTATTTTATTTTTTTATTTCATGCGTTATAACAGTTCTTATATTTTATTTTTGTTTCCCATCCTGCGTGTGTTTGGTTTTGAAGGATAATTATGGAAACCTCAATATCCAATTGCTAGCTTCCTTTCCTTGGTAGTTCTCAGCCCTTTCTAGGTCTTATTTGATTGGTTATAAAATAAGGTGATAGCACACAAATGGTAGTTGTAGTTAACAGCAAGTAGGCAAGGTGATATCTATAATAAAAGAAATATAAAAGCAACATGGCATAGACTGTGTGACGTGGTTTCCACATAAAAAGTATAGAGGATACTCGCGCATTAAAGAGCCCTCATGGTCTGCTCTAAACTCGGTAGGTATTTTCAACACTCTAAGGTTGATTTGTGTCAGGTCTTCGTGATGTTTCTCTTCTGGATTCAAGATCGGGAACCAGTAGAGTGAGTATAAATACACTTTAGTTTAGAATTAAAAATACAACAAATACTGAGGTGTTAAGTCAAGCACAACGCATTTCGACCGATAAGGTCTTCTTCATGTGCATCTACCAACATGAATAAAAGTATACCATTTACACGTAACTTAATGATAAAGTCTGATACAGGTGTGTAATGTTAAATGTCCAAATATGGTTCTTTCTGGAATAATTTCCTTTTCCAAGATGGCGCGCACCGCCGAATACATAGATCCCCATCCAATCCCAAACCTATCAAAAGACCCACCCCAGTAAATACATCAGGGGTGCATCTCTTATGTGTATCTTGTGCGTCAGAACGGGATTGATTGGCTGATGTCAACAGCATGTATTAAAGCTCTAAGTTAAAGGAGTACTTAATTATTGCAAGCAATTTCATATTGCAATGATGTTTGTAACCGCAATAAATTGTCTTTTTATCATTTCCTAGATGAAACTTTCTCAATTAAGCACAATAAGGAATATCTTCTGTCAATGGCCAACAGAGGGAAGGATACAAACGGGTCGCAATTTTTTATGTATGTAATTGGATAAACTTTATTTTTTTTGTTTTAAAGGTATAATGTAAAAAATATTGCACCAACTTAATTTTTTAAATATTAATTGGCGCTTTTTTTTTTCTCCTCATTATTTACACTTGCTACTATCTTGATGTCTTCACAGAACAACAAAGCCGACACCTCACTTGGATGGGTAAATATTTATTTCATGACATTCTTTAAAAAGTGTTTTCGCTTTAAGTCCATAGATCTAGTACAATTAAGGCTCTATATACATTGTAGGTAACCAAACCCAGTGATGAAATTTGTTACTGATGAATGGATTACCATATTGTAGTAAGGGGGAGAGAGTTCCTTTTTTTTTTTTCTTGTAAACAGTCATTTGAGGCAAATAAATAATTGTAAATCTCAGTTTTGACTTGCGTTCTTAATGGTTTTTTTTTTTTTTATATATCTATATATCTTCATATAGGCTTCATGTTGTTTTTGGGCAATTAATCTCTGGCCAAGAAGTAGTGCAAGAAATTGAAAATCAAAAAACAGATGCTTCCAGTAAGCCGTGTGCAGAAGTCCGGATACAGAATTGTGGGGAGTTGATTCAAAAACCAAAAGGTAACGAACATGTCGTCATTTCATCTTTACATTTTGCTAACCAAATGGTTTGAAAAGTAAATGTTTAGTTGATATTTAGAAATTAATATCTTCAGATCACGGCAGGCTCTGGATTCGCAGCTAGCTGCTTGGTAATTCCGTATATAGGTGTACCTCTTTCTTCATTCTTTGCCATCTGTTACAGATGCGAAGTGTATTGGGTCAGGATCACACATCTTTCATATTTCTAGATGTGCAGTTTGAGAAAAAAAATGTATGAGATAATAGTTTGTTTTGCTAACTAAGAATTGTAAAAGCATTTTAACGATAACAGCCTTTTATGTTACTGATCTGGTTTTAGTATGTGGTTAGTTTATTTTTGGTTCTTTGTGTCCTTTTGTATTGAGCTTTTAAAAAAACAAACAAAAAAACCTGCATATTGTGAATCTATTTGAAATAAAAAGTAGTTGGTTTAATATATGTGAGTTTTTCTTTGAGAGAGTGTTCTCCCAAATATCCCCTTAATTTCGTTTTTTTTTTTTTCCCTCTTTAGCTAAGAAGGAAAAGAAAAGACACAAATCTTCCTCTTCCAGTGATTCTGATAATTCCAGTGACTCTGACTCCTCTGACTCTTCATCTGATTCCAAAAGTGAAGGGGAAGAAAAATCTAAAAAGAAAAAAAGGAAGCACAAAAAGAATTCAAAGAAGCATAAAAGGGAGAAGAAAAAACGTAAAAAGGAAAAGGAAAAGACGAAGAAAAGGTGAGAGCTGTTGAGTAGGCTATTGGGTTGTTCGGCCTGTGGTAATGTTAAATGCATTGCAACTGAAACATATTACACGTTCCTTATTTGTTCATAATCTATGCAAATCAATAATAAAACATCATTAGTATCACTATAACATAGTTTCGCTTCTCTTTTTAATATCATGTGGTATAAACGTTCTTTATTTTCCTGTCAGTTCTGATAGTGAGCATGAAAATGAAGACCAAGAAGTACAAGTAACATCCACTGTCCGTCCAGAGGAGATCCCAACTGTACCAGAAAACAAATTTCTAATGCGGAAAAGCCCTCAAAGAGCAGAAGAGAAGGAAAGCCGCCAAAATGACCGGGAACGAGAGAGAGAGAGGTAATTGTTGTGAATATGAAAATATTGGTATAGTAACATGGAGTGCAGAACAAAATAGATTTATTTTGTAACATATGTAAATGAATGGGGAGGGATACAACTTTGACCCTACCGCTGTTAGCTGCAAATCCTTGTGAAAGGACAGTGTTGTGTACCCCTTATTTAAATGAATAGAATATGTATGGATGAAAGACAGATCATACCAAACTAACTAACTTAATTGCATTCTATGAAGAAGTTAGTAGAAATATAGATTGGCGAGTTCTAGTGGATGTGATCTACTTGGAGTTTACAAATGGCATTTGATACAATTCCACACAACAGGTTACTATTAAATTAAGTCGTTTTAGATGGAAAATTTTGTTCTTGAATTGAACATTGGCTTAAAGATAGAGTGCAGAGCGTAGTTGTAAATGGAAAATTATCAAACTGGACAAAAGTGGTGTGTCTTGAGGTTCTGTACTTGGTCCACTTCTCTTTCAATCCATTTTATAAATAATCTTGGAGTGGATATTGAAAGTCATCTGTCAGTGTTTGTAGATGACACAAAATAAGGTGTCTGAATGAAATATAAATTCTCAACAGAGGGTTTTGGATAAATTAGGCCACTTAGGAGCAAAATGGCTGCTGAGATTCAGTACAGATAAATGCATTTTGGAATAAGGGACCTACAAGCCACTTATACATTAAATGAGGTTAAGTTAAATGGAATAACATTATTTTAGAAGGAATTGGTTACAATTATAGAAGACAAACTAGGCAATGGTATGCATTCAATTTTCAATTTCTATATTTTTAGCAACTCTCAGGCTTCTTTCTATCAGAGGAGACTTCTAGTAACCAGGTCTGGACGGAAAATCAAAGGGAGGGGTCCCAGAGTAAGTACCCTTAAAGGTGTTCTTTCCCTTCTTTCAATGTCTTTTACATTTTATTTAGTACAACATAATTATATGCCAAGTTTTTATTTTTAGTTTTTTTTTATAATCTTTGTTGAAGAATTAAATGCCAAGTGTAATATTGTAGAGAAGAAATGTGTAGCTGTTATTTTCCCAGCATCTCTTCCAGTTAATAGGAATTCTTCCTTCCTACGATGGTTATATTAAAAAAACAAACAAAAAAAAACTTTTTTTTTTGTTGTTGTTGCTGCAAACTGTTAATTGGCATGAAAATATCCATACAGTTGTATTTCTCTGTATTCTGAAACTGGCCTCTTCAATCTTGATTCCTTGTCGGTCATTATTACAAGCCCTGCTCTTTGCATTGGACTGAGAGTATAGAGTTGAGTTAAAATAAAGCCATGGATTTATCAAAGTGCCACTGTCACTTTTCTGTCAAATTTTCTGTAAATATTTATGCAATTTATTAAGATTTTTTTTTTATCACCATATTTACAATGTGTTTTCTGGCTTAGATCAGTCACTAATTCTTTAATGTACATTTTAAATGAAAATGAATTATCACATGAAGAAACTTTATTTTAATTTTTTTTTTTTTTTAAAGGAAAACCCTAATTCAACACCATGTAGTGGTTATTGGGACAGGAGTGTACTAGTGCTGTCCATGAGTAATCTGTTTTAGCACAGGTTGTGATTGCTGCTTCTTCTAGAGCACAAAAAGTGTGATGTAAATTCTGTTCAAGATAGGAACACTGTCAGTTTTATTCAAAGGTGTCATTTTCAAACTAAAGTTCAATTAAAATTTTTCTTGTAGAAGTAAATATATAAAAAATAAACTGGATTAGAATCCTAGGAAATGTAGTTAAGCAACATGGTGTGGTGTTCTGTAAGAAATGTGGTTTTTATCTAAAAATAGAATTTTACAAGTAGTCTTGGTTTTTAAGCATATAATTTTCAATAGAACACAAATGGTAAACAAGTTGATCATTGCTTTAGCTATGTGGGGTGGGGAACCTATTATGCATCCATATTTAATAGTTTTTTCCTCTCCCCCAGCGGTACCGAACTCCGTCCAGATCTAGATCCAGAGATCGCTTTAGGAGAAGTGAGACACCCCCACACTGGAGGCAAGAAATGCAGAGGACCCAAAGAATGCGATATTCTAGTGGGGAGCGCTGGATCAAAGGAGACAAGTGCGTAATCCTGAAGATTTCCGTTTATTGTGTATACCTCCACCAATTATAAATAACAAATACCCAGGGTTTTCAGCTAATCCAGTAGGATGCTCAAAGCATACAACCTACAGCATGTTCTTTATGTGGCATAGATGTCTTTAAGCAGAGTATGTGTCGTGGTGCCCATAAAGACGAAAAGGGCTCACAAAGCTTATCTGTGATTTGTACTGTCATCAACGAATTCACGGTGCATGCATGGAATTAGAGGAGGTAGTGTATACTGGTTAGTTTATTTGGCTCCTGTGTGTGTATGTGTGAGGCATTTTGTTTAAACTTGTTAAAGAGCAACACATTAATTGGAAATATTGCTCTGTATTTTATATACTCTGAAGTATGAAACCATGTTTCTGAATTAAGCTTAGATCATTTGAGGTGTGTGTGTGTGTGTGTATGTATAATTTTGTTTAAAAAAAATAACTTTTTTTTTTTCTTTTTCTTTCTAGGAGTGAATTAAATGACAAAGACAATCAGAAAAGCCCAGAAAGAGAACATAAACCAACTGATGAAAGACCAGTTTCTGAGAGTCCTGTGAAACGAGGGGATCGAGATAGGAAACCTAAAGAAGACATATCAAGCAGCAAAGACCACGAGTCCAAAAAAGAAGACGATAAGGAAGAAAAACAAAACAAAAGTAGGGGTAGGAGGAGGACAGAATCGGGAAGCCGAAGTGAAAGTAAAGAAAATTCCAAAAGTAACAAAGATGCTAAACTCAGCAGGCATGATGCAAAGGCAAGATCCAAAAGCAATGATCGGAATCATGAGAGAGGGAAAGAAAAAGATAAAAACAGTAATAACAAAGGAAAAGACAAGGATAGGAGCAGAAGTAAGGAAAGGTCTAAACACAGCACTCTGAAAAGTGAGAGAGCAGAAAGTAAAAGCAAAGAGCGCGAAAAATCAAGAGAGAAGCATGGAAAATCAAGAAGTAAGGAGCGGGACTCTACAAGAGCACGGCCTCGTTCCAATAGTAAAGGTAAAGAGAGGAGCAAAAGCAGGGACAATAACAGGAGGGCCAGGTCAAGAAGCAGAGACCATAACCGCAATAGAAGTAAAGACCGTGCAAGAAGCAGGGATCGAGAAACTAAAAGACGAGGCCGATCCAGGAGTCGCGATAGAAAGCGGACACCAGATAAATCCAGAAATAAAGAAAACAAGGATAGGGACGAATCCAAGGATTCAAATCGAGATTCAAGTCAAAGCAAGAACAAAGACTCCTCTCGAAAAGATGACAGAAATTCACAGAGAAAGTCCACAAATCATGAAAGCCACAAAAGAAGGCATTCTAGGAGTAGTAGCCCAGAGAATAAACGGGCTAGAAAAACAAGCAGAGATCGTAATAAAAGTCCAGACTCCAAGAAAGTACATGGTAATGACAGGGAGGAAAGATCGACTCGCAGAAGTAGAGATAGAGAAAAGGCACCAAGATCGTCTCGTGAAAAGGAAACCAACCAAAAATCCAGGAGTAGAGATCGGGATAATTCTCAAACAAAGGAAAAGAAAATAAATAGTGAATCTAGTCCTAGAAGTGTTGATGGTAAAAATGAAAAATGAAATGTAAATACTCTCGTTTCCCTTTTCTGTTGATATTTGTTAGGGAGATGTATACTGAGGGACATTCTTTATTTTAAAATTGTAACTTTTTTTTTGGACTTATTTTCCCTTTTTTGATAATCCTCAATATGGAACGTTTGTATTGCTGAAGTTTTAATAAACCTTCAATGAAAAAGAATTTAGGTGTAATACTTTGTTAAAACCTAAAATTAAGTCCTTGTTTTTCTGTATATCACTTTAGCTGCTGAAACGAAAGGGGTTTTGTTTTGTTTCAGAAAATGCATGTGTATATCCAAATCTCTTATGTTTTAAAATAAAATACTGAAATCATGCTTTGTTTAGGCTTATATAGTTCTGTATTGACATGCAGTAATTACAGTGCTTGGCAAAGTGCTAAATTCTCAGTTCCAGTACTATTTAGGGAAATGATTGAGTGCTTACCTATGTTTTTTTTTTTTGTTTTTTTGTTTTTTAATTGAAACTGTTGTGAAACTATAGAATTACGACTGTTTTTATATAGATCTCCTTCCTGTACAGAAACACAAGTTACACCTTTGCAGACATCCATTCTCAATGATGTATTTAATCTAATCATTGTGATCTTAGAAAACATTATGGCACTAAATAAGTTTAATTGCTGGATGAAAATGAACAACTGCTTAAATATGGTGCACGTTTCCTGAGGTGTTAACTAGTAAGTGTTGTATTTCCATAAACTACTGTATGTTCAGGGTACATATGTTGAAGCTGATTTGTGTCTGCTCTACTTGCTTAACCCCTTAAGGACACATGACACGTGCGAAATGTCATGATTCTCTTTTATTCCAGAAGTTTGGTCCTTAAGGGGTCAAAGGGAAAGTTCTACAGAAATATCTAAAAATGTGTGTATAGACCCACACCCCCATGCATGTGAAAGGTTATTAAACACATGAATTGCAATACTGCGTTATTGTTTTCAGTTAGTTCCAGGGTTGCCATGTAATGCCCTGTGGTATCATTAGGTCAAATCGTTATACTACTCTGGAGTAAGTTTGTAATTTGATAAGGAACTGTATCGATGCAGAAAATGCTAGACTAGTTGAAAACTCCGTCTTTGATTAGCATCTTGCTGTTAAACTTGTCTGAATTTTCTCTACATCTTCAGGGCTGTGGCCTAACGTAACATTACATTTCCAGTAGTTTGTTCTGTGGTATTTAGAGTGTAGAGTGGTTTACCTTGAATTTGGCAGTCTGTCTCTGCATTATAATTACTACATTCTTTAGTGGGTAAGGGATTATTAGGCTGCGGGCACATCCCTGGTTTGTGATCAAAATGCTTTTGATTGGTTTGACTGAAACTGTGGGTCCCCGATACAGGTTTTTGCCAAGCTATCCAAACAGTTTGACCCAGAACCTGGGGTGCAGCACCTGCAGTGTACTAGTACCATAACCACTACAAAAATGATGCAGTGGTTATGTATGTTAGACTGCATGTTTAAGGTGCTAGTTACCTATTATTTTTTGTGACTTTTTCTTTACTATTTTATAATACTAATGATATCTTCCTGATGTCCTGAACTTCCCTTTAAAGCAAAGCAAAACATCACAAGCATTCTTTTGTGTTCCATGGTGATTGTTTTTGTTCTACAACTCTGCTCCAAAATTGACTGATAAATATCAATCTTAGATTATTTGTGGAGATCTTCCAGTATGTGCTAACAGGATTTTTTTTTTCCATGCCAGAACCTGTGAGTACTATTATTTCAACTTGCCTTGTTACAACTACTTGTTTGTAAGTCCACCTACTGTACAGCGTTGTAGACTTTGTTGGCGCTTTATAAATATTAAAATGTGTGTCTTTTAGAGTTTTCTTTTTTGCCAAATTTTATAATTCTTGAACAATTATGACAAACTATTCCAGAGATGGGTTTAATTGAAAACTAATTCCCCCAGCCTTATTTGGTTAGTGAACAGTCTTGATTAATTTTGGACATCTTTATATTTACTAAACTGTGAATTTTTGCAAACAATTTGAAACTGGTTGTCTTTTTTTTTTTTTTCCCAACACTAATCTTTTGGTGCCAACACAGCTTTTATAAATTTTATAGCTTTTGACCTAAATGGTTTTGTTTTGTTTGCTTTTTCGCCAACATGTTCAATTAGGTATAGTTTGAATGTTTTGCAGCATTCTTTTAACCATGTCTACTCTGCCCCAGGGCCTTCTCATTGAAATAATGCTGTATGCTGCTTACTAGAACCTGTGTATGTGATGTCACAGCTAAGTTTCTGTCTCTCCCAAACACTCTTGCTTCTTCCGTTACAAAGTTGTGCATCTCCTTAGAATCACAGCAATCTTTTCTGGGAGTTGCAGATTTTTTCATTTAATTTCATTAGTTAAAAAAAAAAAAAAAGCCATACAACTGTAAAAAATTCCTGCTCTGCACAAAAAGCTTTGCTGTGCCTGTATTTTAGTGATTAAGTCTGCGTTTTGAAAAGTCAGAAGACCAATACAGGGTCCTGACTGGCTACTTCCTTGTTTGGGTATGTAATGCATTCTAGAGAAGAATGTTCAGTTCCAGCGTGTGTGTTTTCTTGACATCATAATATAGTTATTAAAGATCTATTATTGTGGTTTGTGTTTATTTAACCCAGTGCTGCGGCACAGTTCTTTCTTTTGCTCTACACAGGCCTTCCAAGCAGTGAATTCCTTTGTGGTAAATGACCCCTTCGTATCAGACTGACTTGATGATTACCCGTGATTTACTGTTCTGTGAAGTTATACATGTTTTGTTTATTGTAAATGATTAATGGTTTATAACTGTAGTTGTTTGTTTTTAATCAAAGTGAAACTTAATTTAGATGCTTTGGTTGATACTTTTTTTTTTTTTGTCCACTGTTTGTTGTGGCTTCACTTTCTTGAATTTAATTTACCAAAACTGTGTGCATCAGACATGTGAAGGCTTTTAAACATGAATTCCTACTAGGGTGTGAACCATGTGACTCTTGTACACTGTATTCATCACATTATTTGTATTTATAGGGCTATATTTGAAGAAAGCAAGGAACCCATTTTGGATTTACTAGTGCCATGCTGCTGTCTTGATGGTCATTAACCCCTTAAGGACCAAACTTCTGGAATAAAAAGGAATCATGACATGTCACACATGTCAGGTGTCCTTAAGGGGTTAAAGGGTTACTCCACCTCTATTATATAATTTTGTTATATTGTAATTTTAATTATATTGTATTTCTCTTTAGTTACTCGCTCGTAAAGAGAAATGCCCAAATAATTGTTTTTAAATTGTTTTTTAAAAACTTACCCAGAATCTAGCACCAGGCTAAGTTCTACAAATTACCATAACTTTGTTTTTGTCACATGTGCCTGTTCACCAGTAGACAAGGGGCTGGGAAATTGAGTTGTAGGGACCAATTTGATATTTTGCGAGGAGGCGTTAGGAAGAGATTGATTATTGGCATTATGGAAGGGGGGGAGATTTGGATTGAGACAGACCGTGTGCGCATATAGCCTAACAGACTTAGTCTTGCTGGCACGTTCACAGTATTGCCTGTAAGGGAAGAAGCTGAATATGTCAGTCACCAGCGGGCAGCGGCACAGACCTCACATTAGATTAGGCAGTCCAGAACAGTTACTGGCTGCCTTGGTTGTAGGTGAAATTACACCCAGAAACAAAATCAAAGATTACTCTGTATAAGAAGTGTTTAAGTTGAAACGCTGCACATACATGTTGCTTGATTAATGACCACCTCTAAAAGCAGACTTGATCAAGAAGGTTGGATTAACTCTTTAACCCTTGTAGTAAAGTATAATACGGCTGCTCTATGGATTTTGCAATAACTGGGGTATGGATGGAATTAAAGAGAATTGAACTAAAGAGTTTTTGTTTTTTAAGTAGTGTCTGATTTGGATACTGTTCAACTGTCGAACGGTGATATTTAAACTATAACTGTTCCTGTTAAAACAAATTCTTCAATGACTATGTAAGAGAGGGTAACAACTTCAGTTTTTAATGTGGCCCAACTAGGTTTGGAACAGCACAGTGACTGCTGTTAGCCAAGTGGAATGTAATGATTAACAAATGTTACAACCCCCACCCCCACACACAATACCACCAAAGAGTGGTCTCACGGGCGACTTACAGATAAGAGGTGCATCAGGTTGCAAGGACTAACCAGTTCTTAGATAAGGAAAAAACGCACTCCAGGCACTTAGTATTACAAAATATAAAACTTTGCTTTTATTTACACGATCCAATAAAATGTTGACATTTCAGCTCCCAGCTGAGAGCTTTCATCAGGACAATAACAAAGGTTTGTTGTCTTGATGAAAGCTCTCAGTTGGGAGCTGAAATGTCAACGTTTTATTGGATTGTGTAAGTAAAAGCAGTGTTTTTATATTTTATAATACGAAGTCCTGGTGTAGTGTATGTTTTTTTTTTTTGTTTGTTTTTTTAAACCTGCACTGGGCCTTATTGGTAGTAACCAGGGGTGCAAGTTTTGTTTGTGTTTTTTTGGAAGAAAAAAAATATATTACGAACACTAATCTGATTTTTCTGTCGTCGTTGTTCAGCGGCTTAACCTGAGTAATATGCAAAAAAAAGTGTTTAACCCCTGGTTCCCTCTTTCGGGAATAGTCTTTTAAAGTTTAGATGTGATGTGTAATACTGCTAATCTTGTTCTTTCTGACTTGCTGGTGGTTTTATATAATTCTTCAATGGGGTTAAAGCGGTCTTCTAGTGTCTCGTTTTATTGGTTTTTTTTCCCACAGATAATCAGATTTCCCTAGTAGATGAGGATCCAAGAACAATCCTAATGTGTACAGAGGTGCATATAATTTTGGTGTACAATTGCTGTATCTCTTTAGTGCCATACAAATTTTCCTTATGTATTTGTAGGTAAAGCAATGCTGAGATGTGCAAGGGATCCTCAAATGTGAATAGTGAGACATTAAAGAGGAAATGTCACATACACAAACTTTTAAAGCTGTACTGTAATATTTTAGCTACTTTCTAGAAAGGCATTAAAAGGGCATTTTATGCAAATTCCCTGTGGTCTGCTAGGTTAATTCTATTAATAAAATCTTATTTCAATTAAAAGCCTGAAGTGTACTTTCATTCATTGTTTCATGAAGTCAAATTGTGCAGAATGTGTACAAATAGAAGTCCATAGTAGATTGTTTTGGGGTTTTAATTTTTCTTTGCTAAAAAAGTGGGTCAAAACAGATTAACTAGTGTGCCTGGGAAACGCGAGTCTGTACCTCCGCTGGGTGCAGACTATTCTTTAAGTGAGCCCTGACTATTAAGAGTGCTGCCACTGATTACCACGGGGATGCTCCAATACAACACAGTGCTCTCAATCACCGACCTCTAGAGATCTTCATGTTCCCCCTCCCGGGCCCAAGGTTAAAAGCAGCAAGGAAACTATAAAACATTTTTAAATTAAGATAAAATAAATTCTAAAACTGCACCCCTCTCACTCCCCATACAATTACATCCCATATACCACATCACAAATTCACACGCTAGATTTTCCCAAATTCCTACTGCATCTCATATAAATATAAGCATCTGTTCCTGCTGTAACAAGATAAATATTGTATTTAATGCTATTGAAAGATTAACCATTTTTACTAAATTAGAATTACAGCTGTTAAAATGTAAATATCAGGACTATGGATTTATTTAATGCAAGAGTTCAGGTGATTATCTCTCAATTAATAAACAATGTGTTCAAATGTAGTCTGTGCTTCTAAACTTGTACACATTAGTAGAATAAAAGGCAAAGAGAGTCAAAAATTAGGTTTAACATTTCATTCTTTTATGAAGACTTTCTATTGCGGTTTCATACTACCATGTAAATCCAAGCTTTGTCTTTCCTTTTTGGATATCTCCAGAATCGTAGATCTCTTTAATTTGTTGAGTGGAATCCTTCTTATAAGCAGGTAACTGAACCCCGCTGGTGTCCTGGACTAGGTAACTAGGTCGAATTCCTCCTCGACCTGAGAAAACGGGGCCACGACCACCACCTGTTCCTTTCTGAGCAGCTTTTACAAGTGGATATGGGTTTCTGCCAGCTTTGGAGACTGAATCAATCACTTGCTTTGCATACTCTTGAAAATTCTCTTCCTCTTTTGAGAGTAAGATATTGGTTTTCTTAGCATAGTTGACTTCTGCTTCTTTCTCCAACTGAGAGTTGGTCATCTTCTCAGCCTAAAACAATAAAATCACAATACCAGTTTAGAAATGTGAATGCATAGTCTAAGAGTTAATGTGGGTCTAGGTTTTAAACGGCCAAAAGAAAGCTGAGCTGCCTGCAAATAAAAGCAACGGAGGCACAGACCAGGAAGTAGGACAGTCACTCAATGGTTTAGAAGTCACTGAATTTTGGATTTTAGTAGAGCAAAACCCGTTGACTCCTGACAAGTGAGTCCTCAACAGCAGCATGTGAATGATCATTTATGGTGTTTGTGTATTTCAGATGTCATCCCAGGATACACAGCTGACCAGAGGAATGGTCAATTGGTGTTGTCTTTATTCAGAGTGCTACAGTTGTTGCTTATGGGCTGCAATTTAATGTGGCTAAAGGCTCTAGCCCTACATTTAACGCCAGGACAGTGAGATTTTATATACACACACAAAAGATTTAATTTTGAGGATCAGTATGAAACTGAGTAATGCTCCAATCTATGTGAATAAATCCACTATTATTGTGTGGTAGTCTCTTATCTCAAGATGTATGGTAAAATAGTCAAGCTGTGACTAAATCAGAGTTGGAGAATCTTTCCCAGATTAAATGCACTATGACTTTCATTATAATTTCGTGTTCAGTAAATAAACCGCATTGAGTTTTCTATTTTGTTTCTTGGCCCAGAGATCTTTTAGCCATTTTTGTCCAGCTTAAAATCAGAAACATTGGGGAGACTGAGATAAAGAATGAATTCATGCCTGCCTCCTTATAGGAACACTGTGTACCATAACATTATCTCAATGTCCAGAATGTTCCTTTTTTTGTCTTTATTTTGGATTTGTCATATTCCAATACAGTATAATTCAGCTTGCGTCAAAAGGTACAATGCATATAAACGATGCAGGGGATAACTTGCATAAAGAATACACTGACCTCAAACTCCATGTGGCATGGAGTGCTTCAACAATTCACTTTATGTGAATACTATATGACCTCTCACGCGTCAACCTATGTAACGGGTCTGTTCAAGGGTGTATCTTTCTGGGAACTTAGAGTATACCGGTAAAGGCTGAGTTCAATTACATATCTTGATTGTCGGTTCAGAGCCTGCAGAGTGGGCTAGTACACGACAGGCAGACCTTCAAGCCTTAATTGAACTAGTTATTGGTCATGTTTGGTTCACGGTCATATGGTCAGGTTTCTGGTATCTAGTCTTCAGTGTGTGCTTGCGTTGTTTCAGGATGTATACAACTTACTGTTGGCATGGGACTGTAGTTTGTATGCCTCTAGGGTGTGGAACAGAGGCCTAAAACCCACGATCCCACCCCCTGGTCCAGAATGTTCCTTTACGCTCAAGCCCTCCTCCCATTAGCTCTGCTGGCATTATAGATGCTAGATATCTTACAATTTGTTGAATCTGTGCTGTCTGTGTCATCTTCTCATCTTCTTCAGCTCTCCTTTGGTTTTCTCTCTTCTGTGCAAGGAAGAGATTATCTGCTTCTTTGATGGCATGCAGAGCTTGCAAAGCATTCAACTTCTGCTCTTTTTCTTCCATCTCCTGTTTCTTTTTCTGCATGAATAAACATATATTAAAAAAGAGATAAATAGAACATCTAAGGAGAAGATTAGCTCCCAGAACTGCATGGTCTTGTATGACTGATCCATATCCATTCTGGTTCTCAAGTCTTCCTATATGCTGACCTTTTGGGTCCAGGTCACCATGTTTTCAGGGACACATCACTTATTTTATAACACAAATTCATTCAATACTATATATTGCAGTGCTTTTCGTGCCCTGCCCTTCGGCGTGTTAGTTATATGTCCTAAAAATCATGATTGATCTGCAACCCTAATCCATACTCATATCTAGATGGAAGATGGCAAATCTCTGAGATGACTGCAGAGCAGGTGTAAAAAAAATAAAAAAAAATTTATATAGGAATTTTAACAATCTGACCATTTTTGCCAAATAATATTGGTTTACAATATGTCTGTGGTTAGCATGCTTTGTGTACTAAGACCAGATGGGAGTGATGCACAAAACATATTTCCAGCCAGGAAGAGAGTATTGGCTGACTGACAGTGAAGGGAGGCAGTTATCTCCAGAAAATATTTTTTTAAAAGCTGAAAAAAGTCCTGGCACCATAAGAAGAAACACTTATTGTACGGTAGTTTGCCTAAGACAAAATATCCTATGTTACTGCAGTTTTAAACTACTGATACAACTTTGCCACTTCCTACATTAAAATTAGTTTTACTCCAGAGTTTTTTTTATTATCTAGGTATCTTAAAAAATATATATTTTCCATAATTTATCTTAACCGTGGAGATTAACTCCCCCTGACCCTAATAATAGATAAGAGAGGCTATTTTACCAATTTAACTTCCTTTTACTTAGTGAGATTTTAAACTACAGTTTAAGGCTTGATTTAGTTTATAGAAGAAACCATTTTAATTATGACATTTTTCTTCAGTTTCAAACTTAGTCACATACTTGTTACTGGAATGGAATTGCAAGACTAGCAATTCCCTTAATTGTGAGTATTTACATAACAGAATATGTAGCACAGGAAGGGAACCTATAAACTACACCCGTGTCCAAATGACTAGCAAAATTCAATGTAAGCCCTAAATACTATGGGTCTGGTTAGAATATCCACGCAACAGATTCTGTAGCAACACCTGTAGACATTCGGTGTAGAAAGTGTAAACCGGCCGTTATTCTTATTACACTTACTACATGTGGCCACAACAGTTACAAAGATTAACTGCAAAACTGTTGTTCTAAAAATATTTGTATTTGCCCCTAAGTTTTAGAATGAAATGTTGTATTTCTAAACTGTGTACTTTGTCTTTGAGATATTGCAAAGAACATATTGGTTTTTCATAACTGTTTCTTTAACTCCTTAAAACCGGAGGGTGTACTATTACGCCCTATTCTAAGCGGCTCTAAACGCCGCAGGGCGTAATAGTACGCCCCCACGGTTTTTTTTTTACTTACCCGGTTGCTAGCGATCCCATGATCTAAGTATATATACACATACACACACACACACAGGTATATTTTACTATTAATATATATATCAAATTACATGTAGACTGATACTGATTAAATTTTTTTTTTATATAAATATATATGTAAATACGTTAAAAAATAAAAATAAGTAATTAAATTTATAGATGGGTTATTTCGTTCTAACTGTATTGTGATAATATATATATATTTATATCAAATTACACGTAGAACGACATAATAAACCTATATACATAAATATGTATATATATCACTACCTATATAAATAAAAATATTTAAAAAAGTGTATGTATATATATATATATATATATATATACACACACACACACTAATTCTACATATATATTTATGAAATATTTTTACATAATTAGGTATCTTAATTAATTATAATTAGCGGAACCTGCCTGACAACCCATGCCGAAAGTATAGGGAATTTAATTTGCTAGCACTATATTTAACCCTATAACTTTCCAAGACACTATAAAACCTGTACATGGGGGGGGTACTGTTTTACTCGGGAGACTTCGCTGAACACAAATATTAGTGTTTCAAAACAGTAAAATGTATTACAATGATGATATCGCCAGTAAAAGTGACATTATTGCATTTTTCACGCACAAACAGCATTTACACGGACGATATTATTGCTGTGATACTTTTTACTATTTTGAAACACACGTGTTTAGTGAAGTCTCCCGAGTACAACAGTATCCCTCATGTACCTTTTTTTTTAAATGGTGTTTTCAAAAGTTACAGCGTCAACTAAGGCTTGTTTCATTTTTTTCACATTCGCCAGATTGGTTACGTTTCCTTTGAGACCCTTTGGTAGCCCAAGAATGAAAATTACCCCTATGATGGCATACCATTTGCAATAGTAGACAGCCCAAGGTATTGCAAATGGGGTATGTCCAGTCTTTTTTAGTAGCCACTTACTCACAAACACTGGCCAAAATTGGCGTTTTTTGCATTTTTCACATAGAAGCAAATATTAACGCTAACTTTGGCCAATGTTTGTGACTAGTGATGTCCCGAACGGTTCGCCGTTCAACGACTAAAAGGTGGGAGGGTCTGCTGCTGATTGGCTGGAATGTGTCTGCTGACTGTGAGGTACAGGGTCAAAGTTTACTCAATGATAAGTCCGTGGCGAACCGTTTGGCACATCACTATTTGTGACCAAATGGCTACTATAAAAGACTGGACATACCACATTTGCAATACCTTGGGTTGTCTACTATTGCAAATGGTATGCCATTATGGGTGTAAATTTAATTCCTGGGCTACTATATAGTCTCAAAGGCAACGTAATCAATCTGGCAAATTTCAATTTCAAATGTAACGTGCTATATTTGACCCTGTAACTTCCCAAAACACCATAAAACCTGTACATAGGGGGTACTGTTTTACACGTGAGACATCGCTGAATACAAATGTATATTTTATTGCAGTAAAAGCAAACAGTATTATGACATTGACAGTTAAAATGTCATGTAGAACTAAAAAAATAATTTTTCTCCCATTTTTTTCATGTTAAATTATGTTTTATAGCTAAATATTTGATATTAAATGAAAGCCCTGTTTCCCCTTAATAAAATGATATCTAATAAGTGTGGGTGCATTTAATATGAAAGAGGTGAATTACAGTTGGACAGACATGTATCACAAATGCCAGGTTTGGTTTACGTTTTGTTTTGTTCACAACGTGTAAATTTGGCTCAGTCATTAAGGGGTTAAGCAATAACCTCTTAACTACCTACAGTGCATAATATGTTTGCGCCATTTTGTCCCAGACGAATTACAATAATGCATAAACAAGCTTCAAGGCTATGCTACTACGCTTTCAGTATGTAATCTACTGTGGTAACCTTAAGTAGATAAGGATGTTCAGACTTTAAGATGCCATCTTGAACTAAGTCAGGAAAATTTCCTTGATGTATGCACTCTTTAGTTATGGCCTTGTATGTTTGCCAAATTAAGGGAGGTCCTAAAATGAATAAAGTAAATGAACTACGGTAACCCTAATATGGAGACACCTAAGGTGTAAATAGGTGTACTTTTAAATGTTAAGAGACAGAGGAGAGACTTGGAGACAGATGCTGCTCCATCTTAAAATGACAGAGACTGACATGATGACATGGTCAGGAGGGTATGTTAACCTATTAATGATATTTGCAAGCATTTAGTTTAATCTTAAACTCTGCTATAAATTATTGCAATGGATTTTGTCTATATTTATTTAATAAATATCAAAAAGACAAAACTTTATTGCTTCCAAGACAATCCTTATTTTTTATTGTATTCTCAATTATTTATATTTTTTTTAAATAGAGGCTCATTTACTAACTATATAAAATTATCGCTAAGATATCTGTATGGTTAGCCCTACTAAGTTCTATGCTTTAAGATGTTATAGTGGTAAATAAGGGAACCAGTAGCGGTTACAAAACCTCTGGCCTTAATTGTAATAACCAGAGAATCGTTATTAGTAGAGCCATGGATTGCAATGACTACTTGATCCTGGCGAGAAACATTTAGTCGCTTGCACCTATGAGAACAAACAAAACTTTAATTAAATTCACTCAGACAGGGGTCGTGGCCAACAGCGATACCGAGCGGACATCTACTAGCAGAGCTCCGCTCGGCCTAGAAACAAAATCAACAAAAAGCCATGAATAACGCAGAGATACAGACCGAGACACAGACACCCCTCCAACCGAGATGATGGGGTGAAAAAATTAGAAGGCTCAAGGCCCAAGCCCAGCCCCTCCCTGCCAGCCAGATATACATGTCTCCTTCGAGTGGCCAGCAATCTCACAGACCACAAAGATGGCGCCTGAGGCCCGCTGTACACACGCGGCATCTGACGCCTCGCTAGACGAAGGGGATTCACTACCCTCCCCTCAATCGGAAACCCCATCCTGCTCATCAGAGTTGGAGGAGGACGAGACACCCTCCACAAAGGGGGACATAAAGAGACTCCTGGCAGAACTGAGGAAAATCTGGGGAGCCGACCTCAAAAAAGTCCAGACAGAAATGGAGGTGGTGCGACAAAGAGTTCACAACCTAGAAGAACTGGAAGCAGCCAGAGAACACACACACACTCCGAGCTACGGACACTCACCTGGAAGGGCTTACCTCTCAGGTGTGTCAACTGAGACGCACAGTGACCACTATTGAGGCACGACACCGGCGAAAAAATCTCTGTCTCAGGGGGGTACCTGAAACAGTGACCAACAAGCAGCTCCTGCCCTATATTCTCAACCTCATAACAAACATGGGCATTGGGGGCAGAGAGGACAGGCCACGGGTCTCCTCGGCATTCCGTGTGCGGAAATTGGCGGTGGCACCAAGTGAAGCACCTAGAGACGTCATCATGATGACCCAAGACATGTCTGCTATAATGACACGATCCAGGGAAATGGGGGCGATTTCTAACGAGGGCCACAAGGTGACAATATACCCCGACTTACCTTTCGCCATCCTCACAGAGAAAAGAAAACTGGCACCCATAGCAAGGAAAATGCGAAACTCTAGCATACGATACCGCTGGGGTGTGGAGGGTTCCCTCCTAACAGAAATAGGGGGAGAGAGTTTGACACTGACTTCGGAAGACGATCCAGAGCTCTTCATGCAACATGTGGGTCTGTCCACCCGACCAACACAGAGACTCGCCTCACCTACCAAGAGATCCGAGGAATCAGAGGGCCCAAGTGATAGCAACCACATTGAGAGCAAGTCGTCCAGTAATAAAGTCAAGAGACTAACACCGGCACCCAGAGCCACAGAGCCACGATCATCTAAAGAGCAGAGGGATCACCCAACGATTGGCACCACCAGGGACTTCCTTTGGTAAACCAGATTAACTTACTGAACTCACCGAGGCCCGGTTACTGGCCTTTCTATATACTAGGCGACAAAATTAATACAACTAATGACACTTAGTACCGGTCTCACTTATTGACACTTGGTCATTGTTTCACTGATTGTCCCCCTTGAGATACCACACCATAATATGGTTTATATCACAGAGGCCCGAACACTGGCTATTTCTATAAAACACCGAGGCAACAGCTATTGCCACTTAGTCATTGTTCCAATTAATGTCCCCATTGTGATACCACTGTGACTTCATATGTTTTTACCTAAAATGTATTGCATAAATTGTACACGTTACTCTCAACTTAATAAAAAATGTAAAAAAATTCACTCAGACAGCGTGATTAGGCCACAAGTCTGATAAGGAAAAGTATAGATCTAACGAGCAATCTATGATAAATTACAAACAAATCATGGAAACTCGTTTCTATCTGTAAAAGTAAAGTTTAAAACACAAGACCCATGTGAGAGTTAACCATGCAGGCTCTATGGAGTTCATTTTAACTAAAGAAATGCTTCAAAACAAATAAGATTATCTGAGTCAGCTATCCAATGGGAATTGCTGGACTGCCCCCTCTTAATGAGAATACAGCCTTTAAATTTACAGATAACACAGTCTTTTAATTCTGTAGTTTTAAACCTCTGTCTGAGTAGGTTGCCCATGCAATTATGCAACATTGTTGTGACGATGAGAGTGATCCTTTAACATTATCGGATATCCATTAAACAGTACCATTAAAATAACTGATTAACGTTTTGTGTGCAGCAATAGACTGATTCTCAAACTCTTAAATATTGCAACCCTTGGATACACCTCAAGACAGGTCTACCTTTTTTTTTTTTTGCAAAACCATGCCCCAGTAAATGTGTGCCTGCTGGTATTATCATTAAAGTGATGGATCATCTTGGAATTTAGTTTTACTTACCATGGCAATTCTGTGCTCCGTGATGGCTTTTATATCTGCTCTTATTTTTTCTTCCTTTTTATCGGTCTCCCATTTGCTTTTCGCATCCCGTTGGGCAACAGCCTTTTCAATGCGCTCGTCTTCGTTATCCTCTTTCTGCTTGATCTGTTGCGCCAGGTGTTTACTTATTTGATCCCTGCGTTCTAAGGTTTTTCTGATTTGTAAAATATAGGCAGAGCAAACTGTTACTTTGATAACCCACATTTTATTTTACATACAAGAATGAATATTTGATGTATTGACCAGGTTTCAGAAAAATGATTTATATACAAACTGCATTACTAAACATTTCAAAAGCCTTTACCTTTTTTGTGCTACAGGTGTAGATTGCTACAGGTGTACCACAGTGAAATACTCTGGCTAAAAAAAGACACCCATTCTATTTAGTTATTTAAACTATTTCAGTGATCTTCCTTGTGTTACTAGATTCCATTCTCGGGTTATGCCTGCTCTATATGGAAAACATCTGCTCTTGTACTTTGTTAAATCTCTTGAGATATTTATCAAGTAATTCTTTTCTGTTTTAAGTTATACATAGAGGAAGGTTAGAGTCTATCTTGGCGTGTTCTCCTAGATTCCTTCCACTTTCTAGAACTGTGCTATGAATATTCTCCAGCACATTTCTGGCTTTCTGAATATAAAGTATCCAGAATTTAACATTCTCCGCTGTACTGGCTTTATGAAGACAAGGTATCCAGAAATGGTTAAATTTCAGGTGAGGTTTTACAATGAATCCTTAAAGGGACACTCTAGTCACCTGAACAACTTTAGCTTAATGAAGCAGTTTTGGTGTATAGAACATGCCCCTGCATCCTCACTGCTCAATCCTCTGCCATTTAGGAGTTAAATCCCTTTGTTTATGAACCCTCCCTGCATGTGACTTGCACAGCCTTCCATAAACACTTCCTGTAAAGAGAGCCCTATTTAGGTTTTCTTTATTGCAAGTTCTGTTTAATTAAGATTTTCTTATCCCCTGCTATGTTAATAGCTTGCTAGACCCTGCAAGAGCCTCCTGTATGTGATTAAAGTTCAATTTAGAGATTGAGATACAATTATTTAAGGTAAATTACATCTGTTTGAAAGTGAAACCAGTTTTTTTTCATGCAGGCTCTGTCAATCATAGCCAGGGGAGGTGTGGCTAGGGCTGCATAAACAGAAACAAAGTGATTTAACTCCTAAATGACAGTGAATTGAGCAGTGAAATTACAGGGGAATGATCTATACACTAAAACTGCTTTATTTAGCTAAAGTAATTTAGGTGACTATAGAGTTCCTTTAACCCCTTAAGGACCAAACCTCTGGAATAAAAGGGAATCATGACATGTCATGTGTCCTTAAGGGGTTAAGAACCTCCCTTTTCATTACAGTGAAGTTTAAATGGAAAACTGGAAATGGCTTTTATAAATGAGAATGTATTTTAAAAGTAGCTTTTTAAAAGACCTCAATAACATTTTCACCAGATTGTACCTTTAAATGGGAGCACGTATAGGAAATGTTTAGTCTAGGGCAGTGGTTCCCAAACCAGTCCTCGTGGAAACCCCTACCAGTCCAGGATTTAGGGATCACTCTGTTGTGGCCAAGGTGTTTTTCTTTTTTTCTAAAACCACCCTGAATCCTGGACTGGCAGGGGTTCCACGAGGACTGGGTTGGGAACCACTGGTCTAGGGAAACAATAAATGTTTGTTACAGGCTGGGATTGACTAACGGATTTTTTAATTCTGTTTTGGGGTGTTTTTGTTTGGTTTTTCCCTGTGATAATTCCTTGTAAAGCACCAAAAGTGGTGAAGTTGTATGTATTTCAAGGAGAAGAACATGCGTGTGGGTTGCTTGGAATTTGTATATTCCCACCTGACTATTTCGTTTTGTCTCTCTTTTTTCAGGTTATCCATCTTTTTCTTTGCGAGAAGGAAACGTTGAATCTTGTCTTCATTTTCTTTTTCCTTCAGCAACTCAAGCTGTCTGAGATAATTTCTGTTTGCAACATGTGCCTTGGCAAAGAGTGAAACGAAACATGATGATTAATTACATACAGACCTGTTGCTTATTCACACCTATTATTCATTCTACATATCTTCATCATATTGCACATTCAGATAATAAACACCGTGTGCATAGTGAGAGGAATCTGACTTTTAGGTGATCTGTTTGTTATACAGGATGAAAACGAGAGAAATCTCAATGTATCCTTTCTGGTAAAATATTTTATAAATAAATAATACATAAATATACATTTCCCGCCCATTCCTGAATGTCCTGCATGGCAAGAGGTGCCCTGTACTCTGCAAACATCTGGAGTGTCAAGGTTAGCTATCACTGACTGATGGGAATATATCGAATAGAATAATACAATTTATATCCAATAAGCCAACGTAGTCAATGCCTCTTCCTTATTAAAGATGAGAGGCTTTTAGTGACAGGTGTGTAATTGGGTTTGTGTCTTAACAATGGGTAAAAAAGGGCAGTTAATCTGTAGACTCAGGGCACCAGGAGGATCCACTATTGTAGAGCACTTCAAGTTAATAAGGAGATGGACACAAAGACCAGCAGAGGGCAGAGTTGTAATAAGGAAGATCCATAAAACAGATTTTATTTGGGCTCCTTCTGCTGGTTATTTATCATATTCCCCATTTTACCTTCAGGGGTGAGGAGGTAGAGTGGCCTGGTCTGGAGTTATTACTATTACTTGTAGTCAAACATGAGAAGTGAAAACCTGTGCCCTCATCAGTTCATCATATCATATGCTCATTGAATTAGACAAATAATGCAGGGATATAATGTCCTATAACAGCGCCCTTTGTTTTTCGGGTTGAGAAAAAAATATTCAAGGAAGAGAGACTGTGCAATCAGTGGTACATGTCCCCCATTACCATGGATGACCACCAGGGAAAGATAGGGTGTGAATGGCTGGCGATCCCTGACACAAATAAAGTCCTATTCCCTTTTAATACTCATTATTTGTGATCATGTATTACTCACAAGGTGTTCCGCCATAATTTGCTTTTTCTGGTCCATTTTCATTTTTGCCAGCTTGTTCATTTCGAAATTATGCAGCCTAGTTAATCTTTCAATCTCAACACCTTCCCTCTGCATGGCTATTTTCTCTAATTCAGACTGACGCTTGTGTTCCTCAATCCTAAACGGAAATACAATTAAATATAAAAGTTAGATTGATTTGTAAAATTGCATATATGAATTAAGACTACTAATAAGTACATTAAAATGTTGCCTGATAAAACAAAATTTTTTTAGTTAACTACAGAGCAAGATCATATAACCATGTTTATTGCAACAAAACCTTCTTTAAACATAGGTCATAAAAGTAAAACATTCAACCTATTAATTACATGTATTAATTAGCTTGTATTTTTAGCTTTCTGTTTTGAAAAAGAGTTCGATATGGTCTATATAGTGTGCTAGCAAATGTATAGTTTGGGAGAGAAAAAATTTTTTTTTTAGAAATTGTTTTTTCCTCCGACTTCTCAGTCATATTTTTGGTTTATACTCTTTGACGACGATTTGACTAACAAGCGAAAGCAGAAAAGACCTCCAAAAGGTGCTCTGTCTGTTCTCCCAAGCACAACAACCACAGTGGATGTGCTGCCGTTGCTATGGGAATACCGTTGGCTAGAGACTCTTTGTGATATTTAAGCAAAGTTGAAAAGGCGCTACAGACTCACTTGAAGTGTTTGTGTTTACATTTGTTGAGTAACTTTAAGGACTATTTTGCCATAGGGTCTTTTATTCCAAGCCGCAAAATCAGACAGATAATTTGTATATGTATGTTCATTGACTGCTGAACTGAGGAATAGTTATATTCTAGAATTGACAGTCTGCTAACATAGAGGCCCATACTGTAAAGTAGCCAAATCATAGTCAAAAGGATATTGTAAAAAAATTTAAAAACATGCACTACATTTTACATGTATAAATATATATTTGATGATGCTGAAGTCTGAGGTCATTTTCTAATCTATGATTTGGCTTGATAACCATACACCTACATGTTCCTTTAACACCTTCAGGATTGTAAAAATAAAAATGATCTTGAGTAGTAATACTTGTTTAAGGTGAGGTTAATGAGATAATCATAAATCATGTTAAAGAGACATTTATTCTATAGAAATGAAAGTATTACACTCCTCATATATGGTCCACACAGACCTCACAATTTCTGGTTGTCAGCCTAAAGTACAGCCACTGGCTACCAAAATCATAATCCCTGTGTGCCACCCAATTTACCCAGTTATCATGAACCACAATAATAAGGGATATTTCATCAGATGACATCAACATATTTATAATATTGTTAGTAAAAATACAGCATGAAAATAGTGGCATGGGGCTTTCTTTTTAGTAGTAAAGCAATATCCATTGTAAAAGTGTTTTAATAGAGAATTTAGGTATAAATAATATATCAGCTTTCACATACTGCTTTAGTAGCTCGCTTGTCGTATTCATCGCAGCTATGGTTTGCTCTCGCGCTTTAGCCTGGTCTTTCATAATGCTTTGTTCCAGGTCACGCTGCGTTTGTTCCAGGTAGTTACTCCCTTGTTTGCTGCTCATATTCATCATTTTCGTCTTTAATTCTATTTGAGCTTCTCGTTCTTTCATTACTTCAGTGAGTAAAAGTGCGCTCTATAGAGTATAAATCCATAAGAAATAATACTGATACATTTGTACTGACACAATTTTTAGGGCTGTTCTTTTTGTAGAATTACAATACACACTTATATCACAAATATTCTGATTTTCACAAAATAAAAAATAAATCAGCTGAGTAATGCCAAATGTTAAAAAATAAAATAAAACACTCTGGAAGCGTACACCCCTTGATATCCAATGAAAATTAAATAATTAGGTTGCTTGTAGGGCAGGAATACCCATATTTTGAAACTGGTAGATGCTGCCTCTTATGGAGATGGTACAAATCCCATGACTGTGATAAATAGGACACACATTTACAAAACGTAGGCCTCTGCATGGAAACAATCCTGGAGGAAACAAGGGTTTTCTAAACTACTCCTTTATATTCAGATTTTTTTTAAATTTAACCTTAATTGAGCACTCTAAGCACCATAACCACTAATGTTCATTGTAATGGCTCCAGTGAAGAGAGTCTACGTGCACTTACCACCTACACTCTATCATTGGCATCCGAGGATGGACAGATTTGCACATGCTAATGCACACAATGGACATGTGTCATTCCTGCATTACTAGTACAAGTGCAGTGTGTTGGGGAGAGACAAAAGATTTTGAGAACAAACTTTGAGAGGTACTCATAGACTCTTGGAAACAGAACCACAAAAAAGAGCTGTAGTGGTTATGGTGGTTAGTGTGTCCTTTTTATGAGGCTATATGCCATAAATAATGCAAAGAGGAAGAGAGTAGCATACATGGAATGTCTTGATTCTGTCATTCTCATAAAATAGCTGTATCTTTGCTTTTTCGATGGCCTCTTTCCTTTGTTCAGCCTGGAACTGTGCTTCTTCTAAATCAATTATCCTTTTCTCTTCTTCCTCCTTTTCTTTGCGCTGCTTCCTTATTTGCAATGGTTTGTGCTTCAAATCCTGTGAATGTAATACTAGTAGTAAAAAAAAAAAAATCAAGAAAATACTACATCTTGATATAAACACAGCAGTACATAAAGTACAATCCAGATTGCGCCCTTTCGTAATGTACTATGTGGATGTTGCATTTAAAAAATAGAAGGGGGGGGGGGAAAGTTAGTCACATCTGAATAGCTCGATTCTTACAGTTTTTCCAGGGAGCATATGATCAGCACATTTTGTACACGCTGTACTCTACCAGGACTGCTAGACCTGAGTGGTCTTGATAAAGTACAGTGCGTATGAGATCCATGATTATAATGCTATTTATATGTCCCTGTGCATACTTTGATGTTTCCCCACAGTGAGTCTGTTGAGGTGTCTACACTTTTTTAATCCTAACAGTTGAATAAAGATGGTTTTCCTTTCTCGGGGAGTTACAGAGTTACACTGCCTAAAAAGCCAGAGAGCAAGAGCTTTAAAACTCTACATAGAACTGTCCCAGCCATAGGGAATATGTACAATATGTCTAGGGTTGGCCAGGGACGTATTTGCCGTGAGGCAAACAAGGCATTTGCCTTGGGCGGCACTTTCCAGGGGGAGGCAAAAAATGCCATCCCCAAATGCCCAGGCAAATACCTTGTTAGCCTGGCGGCATTCGGCTAACTAAAAATCCAGGCGGCACTGACTTCATATTCAGACTCCCGGCATCACTCTGCGGCGCACGAGGGAGCTGAGCAGAGACCGCTCACTAATCAGTGCTCCCTCGCCAGTGCCGTGCGCCTGGATTACAATTAGCCGCCCAAGTGTCTGCAAGCCTGCCTCCCTCCCTGCAAGAAGACCCACTGGACCCCAGATAAAAGAAAATCCACCCAGCTCTTCCAAAGGTAGGGAGGCTGGGTGGAGTTAAACTAAAATAGAAAAAGTAATTGGTTAATGTTTGGGGAGGGGAGGGGAGGGGCAGGGGGCCTGTCAGTGTGTGTATGTCTGAGTGATTGTGTGTGTCTGGCTGTCAGTGTGTGTATATCAGTGTTTGTCTGGATGTCAGTGTGCGTATGATTGATTGTGTGTGTCTGGCTGTCAGTGTGTGTATATCAGTGTTTGTCTAAATGTCAATGTGTGTATGTCTGAGTGATTGTGTGTTTCTGGCTGTCAGTGTGTGTATGTCTGTCAGTGTGTGTCAGTGATTGGGTTTGTCTGGCTGTCAGTGTGTGTATGTCTGTCAGTGTGTGTCTGAGTGATTGGGTCTGGCTGTCAGTGTGTGTCTGAGTGATTGGGTTTGTCTGGCTGTCAGTGTGTGTATGTCTGAGTGATTGTGTGTGTCTGGCTGTCAGTGTGTGTATGCCTGTAAGTGTATGTCTTTGTGATTGTGTGTGTCTGGCTGTCAATGTATGTCTGTCAGTGTATGTCTGAGTGACTGTGTGTGTCTGGCTGTCAGTGTGTGTATGCCTGTAAGTGTATGTCTTTGTGATTGTGTGTGTCTGGCTGTCAGTGTATTTATGTCTGTCAGTGTATGTCTGAGTGATTGTGTGTGTGCCTGTAAGTGTATGTCTGAGTGATTGTTTGTGTCTGGCTGTCAGTGTGTGTGTGCCTGTAAGTGTATGTCTGAGTGATTGTGTGTGTCTGGCTGGCTGTCAGTGTGTGTCTGTAGGTGTTTATATGAGTGTGTGTCTGTCTGTCAGTGTGTATCTGAGTGATTGTGTGTGTGTATGTCTGTCAGTGTGTCTATCACTGTGTGGCTGTCTGTCAGTGAGTGTGTGTGTCTGTCAGTGAATATGTGTTTGTTTCTGAGTGTGTCTGTGAGGGCGCCTGTGTGTCTCAATGATTGAGTGTGTGTCTGTGAGTGAATGTTTGTGTCTGAGTGATTGTGTGTGTGTATGTCAGTAATTGTGTGTCAGTGAGTCAGTGATTGTGTCAAATCAGTGTATCTGAGAGTGTGTCAGTCAAAGTGTGTGTTAGCTGTTTAACAGAAAAAGGTGTGGCATTGACAGGGAGGGGTGGGGAAAAAGCAAATTAGGGGTGCCTGAGTTCCATCATGCCAGGGCAGCACAGATACTAAATACATCACTGGGGTTGGCATGTTGGGTGGGCTGAGGCCAGATTCAAAAGTTGCACCAAACTAATATTGTCAGCCACAAAGACAGTATTTTAGCTGGCTGACTGACAGCGCAAGGAGGCAGCCCTACACAAGATTTTTTATTTATTTATCTCAGGATAATAATATTTTCACAAAGAAAGCCTGCAAGGACAGGGTTCTTGCACTATAACTTCTTCAATAAGATAGAGTACTTATTCTGCTTTGAGTGACTCTTTAATACTAAATATCCTAGCTGGGGGTGGTATAATCTTTTAGCTGTTCGGCATAAACTTTTAAATTTAGTTGTAACTACAGTGTAGTTGGAGATAACTTCCATGACTATTTTGACCTGAATTGGGAGATTTTTTTTATTGTAAACTACAATTCAGTGTTTAGTGAACAAACTCTAGAGACTGATGGAAACTCTAAGTGGGAGGGGGTCATACAGTCCCCAAATGCTTATTCATATCCACATAGCTGTGAGGTTTTCTTTTTCTTTACTAACTGCCCACATGGTGATGTCCTCATATTTGTTGGGCTTTAAGCCCTCAAGACAAAAGAAACTAGTAAACAGAGAAGTCATGCCATTCATCAAACCAGGTAACTAGTGAGGATGCAATTTAGAGTTTACACGGCAAGGTGTACATGTACTTCGTAGTACACACTCCAAACCTACCAGGGAAGCATATGTTGCCAAATTCTCATATTCTCAAAGCTATCCCTAGGAATAACACAAGCTAGCATTTCCAAATATTCATCTTTAAAGTTCACCCATGTAATGCTTTTATACTAGAACCAGTTTAAAGGTACAAAAGATAAATTTTGAGTGTTGCTAAAGTATAGTTGTCAAGAGCTGTTATGCTTTCTTACCTGCATGTATGTAAAACATCTACCTGTATGTTTCCATGTACATACATGGAAAAAGCCTTCCAGCAGAGGTCGTAGGGTAGAGAGTACTAAGGTGTTAAATTACAATAATACTTTGTAAAGACAGGTTACTGTCCTGATGTATTGAACAACCTTCCAGCAAAACTGGTGGAGACTGCAACAGTGGAAGAATTCAAGATGGCTTTGGATAGTGATTTTAGAGTAGGAATAAGCAGATGGGTAAATGGCTTTTACCTGTACGTCAATCTTGGTTTGTGAGATTACTTACGGAGATGGTGTTCTTCCAATTTTTTGTTAACTCTTTGGAACGTAAATGCATTTCTTCCCTCTCCTTCTTGTCTTCAAAAACCTGCCTGGCTTCATTTTCAAATGGATTGGTGTTATTCAAAATTCGTTCCCATTCGGACTTTGGAAGTACTGTAATCTGACGGAGGTCGATTCTCTTGTTTTCTGAATGTTCTTCAGCTGCAATTGTAATCAAAATAATCTAGCACACTTATCTGTATGTCCCAAATGAGATGCTTGTTTTTGGAGAAAAAGGAAATGTTAAAAGTGAAATGTATAGATCAAGACACAATGATCACAAGCTTTATACCATACCGGCTAAGGATTTGAGTGCATTTACTGGAACATAGCTTGGTTTCAGAAATGGCAATGCTTTCGGTCACATAATTTTCTTAAAATGTAATAAAGATGGGGAATATTTTACAATGAACAAAACAAGAGAACAGTGTGTAGAAAAAAAAAAAAGATTCCACCTACTGATTTGGCCTGTCCAATCTCTTAATTACAATATCTTAAAATGTGTATAGAATAATAAATTACAAGACCATTTTTAATATTGTTTTGCATTTGGATAAGTTTTGGGTCATTAGTTTTCTAATTGTGAATTAATGATGGAAAGGCATGCCTCTGAAATATGGTAAAATAGCCAGGCTATTTTCCTTAACCCCTTAAGGACCAAACTTCTGGAATAAAATGGAATTATGACATGTCATGTGTCCTTAAGGGGTTAAAGGGTTACTCAAACCACCATGACCACATCAGTGATTTGAAGTGGTCTTGGTGGAAGGAGTGTGTATGTGTAGTGTTTGAAACCCTAGCTATATATTTTAATTGTGTGCTGAAAGCTAGTTGCACCCCCAGCACAAGTGATTTAAAAAGGTTGGAGTAACCCTTTAAAAAATTAAAAAATTAAAAAACCATAAATAGGTAAATTGAAAAAAAAAATTTAAGAAATCACAATTTCTGTTTTTTTCGCCCTGTTTTTACATATTTACTTTTTTTCTGCCTAAAATGTGTAATTACCTGGTCAATTTTCCATAAACACAACACAAGAGAAGTATCAACGTTAAAATATTATTCGCTATAGAAAGAATTGCCAGACATTCAAATAAATTCAAAGTGAATTTCAAAATTTAAGCCCAAATGGCCAAATTTGTGGGGTGGTTGGGGGGGAGTTTTTTAGTTTGAAGAAAGCTATGACAGAGTTCGCGCGCATGCGTGCGCAAACATACAGTGTTCACGCGCATGCATGCACAAACATACACAGTGTTCACGCGCATGCATGCACAAACATACACAGAGTTCGCGCGCATGCATGCACAAACATACACATTTTTGTTAGCTGATTTTATGGTAAAGTTATCTAAAAGATGGGTGTCAGAGATTTGTACAGGGGCTGTGATGCTAGCCATGGGTCTAGTAACAGAGGAATAGATGAGCAGCCTGGAGATGATTATCCATGTTATTTTGTGTGTATGTGTAGGAGCCCACCTCTGCTTACCTGACTGAGCTCTAAACATGCCCTTCCTCCTGCCATACTGGACAACAGGGGCAGAAGCTGTAGCCATCTTGCCAGGATCGCTCCTTTAATACATATGTTGACTTGCACTGTTGCCCGGCGACCGGTTACCGGAAGCCATCACTGTATTTATCGTTACCTGGTTACAGCGGCTCCATGCATAGCTATTAATTAGTGTCTCCCTCACAGCGTCCATTTTAGGTGAGCCCTGTCCATAGAAAATAATGGAATGAGGTCTCCAGGAAAATGGAGGTCCTCACGTTTAACCTGCGTTCCATAACTGGAGACACAAATGGAAGGCTTGTTGACGTCTCTAGTGTTACGAACTCTGAAGTGGGAGGGGATATAAATGGGCATTGTCACAGAGATCGAACACTGACCTGTGCTAGAACGCGTCTCATCAGGGCAGCCATTTTGTTGGAGACCAGACACTGTGTTTCCTTTGTTTTGAACTCTATGACTGTGTCAATTATTACCAACCATGTCAGAAATCTGACCCTCTGCCGCCATGTTTCCTATAGCAAAGCGTCACTAAATCACCATTAGGGGCATCTTTTTTCTGCACTGTAACTTTAATGGTAGTCCAGCAGGTGTGGACTACACAGGCACAGCAAGCTTTCAGATTTTGGACTACCCTTGATGGAAAGCTGCCTGGGGGAGATGGTATATAAAACCATTTAGTATATGAGTTAGAATGAATACCCAGAGAGGAGGAAAGCAAAATCTTGCTTGCCCAAATCAAAGATGGCCGCTGCTTGCTAGTGACGCAATGCTTACCTTTGACCTCTGATATCTGCTGTGTTCCTTTCCACCTGGTGGTGAGTGGTTATTGATACTGTGTTGCAGGGTGAACAGAGTGTTGGTGCTCCTCCATATCAGTAGATTGTCTGGAAATCAGGAAATCCTAAAATAACTATAAAAACATATATAAACATATAGCAAGTAAGCTGTGTGCCTCTCATTGAGCTGGTAAGTGGGCTGTCTGTGTTACTGTAACATCTGTGGCTTGTTATTCATATATATATATATATGTATGTACAGTGTGCTATGAGAAATAATTAGTATTTATACACAATGTCAGTGTAGCAGTTAGTGCAATGTATATATGCCAATAATGTATTCAGAAAGCAGGGTCATCATGGCAAACAAAAATAATCTAGGGAGGTTTGTATCTTAAAATATTGTTCCTGGTTCCAAACTTGTTGAATGTTTTAGATGCACATTGGGGTTTGGCTCTCGCCTACAAATAATAGAACAATAATAGAACATTTTAGAAATGTCCCCTACAGCATTTTTACAAAGAAAAACATAAAGGGTTATTCACTCAAGTGTGAATTGTTCAGGAATTCAAAGTACATATCAAAATTTAGGACAAGATAATTGATCAGGAATGCAAGATATGCTTGTTACATTAACAATTCTGCTCTTTTGAACTAAAACAACACACAATTAAGTGAATAACCCTGAGTACATTTGAAAGCATTCGTTGTCCTGTTCTGAAACTGTTTCTTCAATGTAATAAACGCATCCAAATAAAAGGTGTGCTTCAAAGGATTTATGATCTGATATGTAAAGCAAGATATATAAAGGGTTTTTTGTTTGGGTTTTTTTTTTTTTTTTTACAGTTTAATTTATGACTTTTTGATGAGTCATTCATTAACAAAGTGTTGAAATATATATATATAATCTATCACTACAGGCAGGACAAACTTGTATTTACTTTTATTTCACCTTGAGACAGGATACACACACATATTTTGAGAGATAAGTCTAAAGATCAACCGCTGTAGGAACAATTGAAATGTTAATGGTGATTGTGCCTGGTTTTAACTTTGCCTTATAGTTGTTTTATATGTGACCTGCAAAGTTCCAGCATGAAAGCCTATGACAAGCAGATTTGGAAATGTTGCAGGGATTATCCTGGATTGGTTCCTGTGACAGATTGGTTCTCATGACCTTGGACAAATCACTTTATCTTCTAATTCCTAACTATTGGATTGTAAATATGAGTTGTGGATTTACAACTCAGAGGCAATGGCAAATGATAAGTAATTATCCCTTTTTTTTTTTAAAAAAAAAAAGGAACACTCTGGGTACCATAACAACACTATTGAAAATAAGTTATGGTGTCACGATAGATCACTCTACCACTTCTAACATCACTTGCTGAATAGTTTGGAAACAGAAGCCGTGGGCAGGAGCAATACTGGCGCTCTCAGACAATTTTTCTCAAGCTATTTTTATGAATGGGAAGCCATTGATTGGCCGGAGCGTCAGCTGACATGCTGTAGCTGTGACTGGTTTTTAAAGTTTTTCAGCAAGCGATATTGGAGGGGCAGAGCAGTCCTGTGCTAGAGAAGAGACTCAGGGGCTAAACTGTTGGTCAACTCAGTTCCAGGATAGAGCTACGGGTTTCCATGTTTAATTTTATTTTTCAGATCTTACATATACATATTTGTTAAATATACGAGTAAAGTAAACATAATATAAAGAAATTCTGGGAAGTGATGGTTCCCCTTTAAAACTGCATTAACCTTTTCCCAGTCTGCAGCGCAGAAGCTCTGTCCTTGCAAAATTAAAGGGTTACTCCAAGAACCATGACAATTCATTGATTTGAAGTGGTCATGGTACCTGAAGTCCTGTATATGAAGCATTTCGCTATGACACACTACACATATGGTGATTAACCCCTCTGCTCCCGGAGGTGTAACTACACCTCTAGCAACATAATTGGGGCGCCATTAGCCAGCCCAGGTCAAGAGCACCAGATGCTAATGTGAATTTGGTGAAAAATTGGCATCTAAGTCGAGCATGCACAGTATGCTGGCACCAGACAACCAATTGGGCCGTGAGTCCCGAAGTATCACTTTTTTGGAGACTTGATATGCAAACCATTAATGAAAATCATTAAAGACTATAAAAACATACTGGGTCGTGTTCTCCACTTACAATATGTATGCTATCCTGAACAGGATATCAAGGAAAACGCCTGTGCACTCAGAGCAGACTTCATCAGTCCAAGCAGGCTTTATGAAGCATTTGTGATAATGGCTCCGTAGTGATGCTGAAATGTCGCTTTGACTAATAAAGTCTGCTTGCAAACCTTACTCCGAGCGCACAGCTGTTTTCCTTGATATACTGTACCTGGATCTCACCCTCCTGCTTTGCAGCACCTACATTTGTGTATTAAAAGACCTGTGCAAACTCCTTTGAATTTAATTCCTGAACTGTAGTGAGCTTTACTATACGTTGAGATCTAATAATGCAATCTGTTGGGCCGGGTATCTCCCAGTTCGTCAGAAGATACCGTTTCTCTTATTGTCTTGCAATTACGTTAATCAATCATTAACTCTAGGAAGTATGTGTTTAGCAGGTCCGATGGGAGACCCAGAGTGGATAGTCATGGTCAAGCTAGGAGTAAGGAGTTAGGGCTGGGTTTCCGATTTTCCACTCATGTCATAAGGTATATCCAAATTTGCTATGGTTTTGGACACCAATAGTTTAGTAAGGCTTTAGATCTGTGTCCAGCGTGCCTTGCCTTTGAGCCTATTGAGGGCATATGAATTGGTAGAAGTCTAGGAAAGGGAGAGCATAAACAGTTGGGGTGAAAGAATGAAGAAGCTTATGTATAACACCCGGTTCATTTGATTCCCCTTTCCCATCCCTTCCATTTCAGTTATCCATATCCAGGTGCACCTCATTTCCTTATCTTTTCAAGTTGAACTGTCCCAGTATTTTTCAGGTTTCCTTCCTTCGTATCTTGACTTTTCAGTTCCTATATTCCCTTCCATTGTTCTTTTCATTTCCATCTATATCTTCATTTTTCTGTTACATTTTCACCTTCCTTCCACAGTAATTTTTCTGTCCATCTATCCTCTGAAAAGCTACAAAATATGTTTCTTGATTTATGCTCTAAATCTGGAGTAATACAAGATCTATTTTTTTATTTTTCCTCCAGGTGAACCGTCGTTAAGAACGTTTTTTTTTTTTCTGTTGCCAAAATGAAGGTTCTTCTGGTGTTTGATTTTGACCACACTATAGTTAATGATAATAGCGATACTTGGATTGTCCAATGTGCTCCTGAGAAAAAGCTTCCATATGGGCTACAAAACACTTACGAGAAAGGAAAATGGACAGAATATATGGGAAGGGTGTTTACTTATCTTGGAGAACAAGGAATAAGAGAAGAAGATATGAAAAGGATCATGATCGACATACCTTATACACCTGGAATGACTGACCTGCTCCAGTTTATTGGCCACAACAAAGACTATTTTGATTGCATTATCATTTCCGATTCGAATACTATTTTTATTGATTGGATTCTAACTCACGGCAATGTTCACACGGTATTTGATAAGGTTTTTACAAATCCTGCTGCTTTTGATCCACTTGGAAATCTTACTGTACAAAATTTTCACATCCATCATTGCACCGAATGCCCAAAAAACTTGTGCAAGAAAAAGGTGTTGGAAGAATTTGTAGCCAAGCAAGCAACCAAGCAAGTGCAGTATTCTAAGATAGTCTATATTGGGGATGGTGGAAACGACCTCTGTCCCGTAACCTTTCTTAAGAAAGGTGACATTGCAATGCCTAGGGAAGGTTATGCACTTCAGAAGCGAATAGCAAAAGATATTGATTTGATTGATTCTTCCATAAGTGTATGGTCATCGGGCAGTGAAATATTGTCTCGGTTAAAATCTCTGTTAGACAAATAAATGGAACCTCAGCAAGACAGAGTATCCTGGTAAAATCTACCCCCTATGAATTTTGGGTCCATATTAAAACTGATCTGTTGCATTTCAGCTTTATTTTTGAATCCACTACTTAAAAGTAACTTAATTAATTTTGTTTTTAACTGATACTTTTTCATATTCCAATAATGATACTATAACATTACCGCTAGTTTCTGAAAAAACATGGACAAGGCATTTCATGCAAATTTATATAGGGTTCCCTTTGATATAAATGTGGACAACTTTTGTGTCCACATTTACTCACAAACATTTGTGGTTATTTTAAGTGACTCTATTATTTGTTGGCGAAACTTGATGTTGGAAGGTTTTGTCAGGCTTTGTTGACTTGAGGCTTCACCATAATACAAAATAGTGCCTATTTTGTCTTCTGAGATCTTTTTTTACTGTGTTGGAACTTCAGTGAAATTCTAACATGAGCATTTCATAAACATTTTAACGTTATGAAAAGCTCATAAATATATTTTCAGCCACTTTAACACCAGAAAACTATCAAAAACAAGCAAAACATGATCACTAAAACAAGATCTTTTGTAATGAATGATCATGGAAAAAAACAAGATAATTTCATGACTTGCCCTGCCTGTGCCTTTTGATGACGCGTTCTGTCGGAGTATATTTTTTGTTTTTGAAAATGAAGAATGTAACTATATCTATGTCCATCTATTTAACCTTTAACTACTTACTCTACGGTAATGCCTATTTAACCTTTTAATTACTTTTATTTGCTGGATTCAAAATTGCTACTTAATACAGTGTGACAGATACTCTTCAAATTTTCATTTCTGAGCTCTAATATACAAAATCCTAGTGCATATTTTGACTGTAATTCTAAAATGTATTTTTATGCATACATTGTATAAATATTTTCTCCGCTTAAATTAGCAATGGCTGACCAATGCCAATTTAGCTGTTGTGGACCACATTCCCTATTATGTTTATAAACATTCCGATTGCTAGCAGGGTGCATAGAAACTCCTGGTCCTGTAATGATTGTGTTATTGTGCAGATATTACAAGTTGCAAACAATGCAATTATAACACAGGTTAAAATGTATAAACCGCACTACCACTCTTGGGAAAATGGGTGAACGGACCTGAAATTAAGCTTTTTTTTTTTTTTTTTTGTGGTTGTTTTTGGGGGATTATTTTAATAATAAAGGGTTTTTTTTAATAAATTGATTATGGCTAAAAAATAATAAATAGAACTACCTATGTAACTACAACTCCCATGATGCTTTTGTCAATATTATTAAACGTGGCTTTTTTTTTAGTGCCCATCCCCTTTAACTTGGTACAATCAATCTAGAAATACCAACTGGGTTATTCACACTAAAGTGGCCAGCTGTCGTGTTAAACGTACCTTTCTCCTACTGTTTCCTCTTCTTTTCTCTATTTCTGATCGCATTTTCTTTAAAACATAACACAAAATAGGGACTACATTGTCTTATGTATTTTTCCTACGCCTGACTTTCTTTGACCAGAGGAGGAGCTTAAGTCAGCTCAATTTCCTGTGTCAAGAAGAAGGGTGAGTACTTTCTTTGACACGGGAAATGGAGCTGATTTAAACTCGTCCTCTGGTCAAAGAAAGTCAGGTGTAGGAAAAGACAACATATTCCCTACTTTGGCTTATGTTTTAAGGAAAATTAGATCAGAAATTAAGAAAAGACCAGATTCTAAAGAGAAAGAGAAGAGGAAACAATAGGAGAGTGGTAAGTTGGCACGGCAGTGCCGCTTTAAGTCATCTTTTTGCCCTATAATTTCAGTTAGGACCCACCGTAATTGGAGTACTATGGCGCAGTGGGGGCTGCATACATCTTGGCCATATATGTATGTCTAAATCTCCAATGTTTATTACATATATAGTACTTAGTTATGTCTCCCCTTGTTTTGCCTTGTATCTATTGTCTTATTTGTCTTGTATTCCCAGTTCATGTACAGTCCTGTCCATGTTCTGTTCATGTTTCCCTCTTGTATTGTTTACATGTTCTGCTTTCTGTCCTGCTCCGGTTCTGGATTCTTCTAATCTTGTCTTATTATCTTGGTTGGTGCCTGTTCTAGTCTTATCTTGTTTCTAGTACTGGATACATATCTGCTTACTATCAGCTCCTGGCATCAGCTAAGCTGCATCTGGTATGTTGTCGCACAAACCCTGGTGCTCAACACCAGGGGGCATGTGGTTACCCTGCACCAGACCCTGATTGTCCATTTCCACGCTGAGACTCCGATGTTCATCATCAGGCACACAGGGGTCCCGGTCTTCGGACCGCCACCCTTGACAACGTGCCAGCAGGGAAGAAAAAATCCATTAATGGACTAACCTGGTTATTCAGGTAGTCAGCTGACCTCTTTGGGCACATAATATTGCTGAACCTAGTCCTGACCAACTGCAGCAACCACAGATCATAGCATTGCCCCCACAGGCTTGTGCAGTAGGCACTAGGCATGACGGGTGCATCACTTCATCTGCCTCTCTTCTTCTACCCTGATGCACCCATCACCCTGGTTCTTCCAGTTTTTAATTATGGGTTGGACAGTTCTTAACCCAGTTTTAGTAGTTTTTTTTTGCAATCTCTTTAGATGTTTTCTCTGCTTGATGCATGCCACTGATTTGATGCTTCTCAAACAGACTAACATATTTTCCACGACCATGTGATGTCTTTCGACATGGTTGTTTAGGAAATGAGAAGCTACTCATTGCATCAGTTGGGTTTAAATAACTTGTTGCCAGCTGAAAGATAATCGCCCATGCAGTAACTATCCAATAGGAGGCTCTTACATATTTGCTTAGTCAAATCCAGCTGGCGACTTTTTTTTTGGCCAGGCAGTGTAGTTTGTGTCACTGTGAGTGCACTAGTCTTGAGATTTCAAATTTATATTATCAGATTGCATTGGTTTCAGTTGGGTTGGTAAAATGTTTATAGAATTTAAGGATCTTTCTGGCAATCATTTCTTAAGGTACATCATATATTCAGTAAAAAAAAAAAAAAGTTGTGCACAAGCAGTGATCTGTGTTAGTTTTTTCCCTGTCATTCCATTTTGAAGTTATTTATTATAATAACTTAAATAGTGCATGTAGACGCTATTTAAAACATTACTACCAGCTCTTGCTGGTTGCAGCTATCTAAATGTTAATTTGCTTCCCATGCTGTGTAGCTTGATTGGTCGTTCAAAGATGAAGCTAATTAGACCCTTCTAAAGCAAAGATAGGCAAATGAGGATTGTATGAATGAGCACTTTACACGTTCCAACAAATAAATCATAGAATACGGTTTGAAAGGCTTATAGTAGTTGAAAATTAGTTGGCCGTTTACAGACCAAGATTTGTTTTGTGCCCTCCAAGGCAGGCATCTGAAGACCTATGGTATCTATAGTTTTCATGTTTGTGAACTGTATTTGCTATTTGTCTCGCTATGCATCATGGGAAATGTAGTTACGGGCATATGGGGTGCCAAGATCAATACTGCCCTTCCATCACTCTCCATATATATTCAGCCTTATTATGATGGTGAAGCAATATGATTAAAGGACCACTATAGTGCCAGGAAATCATACTCACTTTCCTGGCTCCATAGGGTCCTTGGGTCCCCCTCATCCTCAGGGCCCCCCTCCTGTCGGGCTCTGGGGGGAGGAAAGGGTTAATCCTTTACCTTTTTTCTGGCGCAGGGGTCTCTCCTCCTCCTTTGACTGTCATCGGGCACGCATTTAGCCAGTCTCTAGGAAAGCATTCTCAATGCTTTCCTATGGACACTGGCGTCTTCTCACTGTGAAAATCACAGTGAGAAGCTCGGAAGCGCCTCTAGCGGATATCAATGAGACAGCCACTAGAGGCTGGATTAACCCATTTGTAAACATAGCGGTTTCTCTGAAACTGCTATGTTTATAGCAGGCAGGGTTAAACCTAGCTGGACCTGGCACCCAGACCACTTCATTGAGCTGAAGTGGTCTGGGTGCCTATAGTGGTCCTTTAACATGAATTAAGAAACGGAAATCTTTTGAAAAATAATTGCACATTTCTTTTAAAACTAGATTATCTTAAACAAGATCTAAAGAGAAAGGTTGTTGGAAAAAATGGTCGTGTAGTAAGGACAAAAATGGGGGTAACCCAAAAAATATGTCATCAAAATAGGTAAATTACTAATATTTCCCAAAAAAAAAATAAGGATCCCTTACTCAAATAAATATTAAACATACATTTTTATTAATGATTACACACATCTAGAAGGGCAACAAATAAAACGTTCTCTGCTTTACATGGAAACCAATCATTTCCTGGTTGAAGAAATTATGAATTCAGTTTGAACTTAGGGTTCCAGGAAGGTAAGCCAAAATATGTATGGTAACTTAAGTAAAAGCCCCAGATGAAGGCGTGTGCTAAGCAGCTAACTCTCTTTATTTTATTCACAACAATGGGCTATTGATGTTGTCTGACCGTAGGAGGCAGTGAAATGACACAAGACGTCCTTTACAGTCCTTGCTCAGCTTTGACCTTAATTTAGGGACAGATATTTTAGGATCATTTACTGAGGGCTATTGTACCATAACTACTACTTCTCACTTATAGTCTGTTTGTCTTGTTTCTCTTCCTATTTATTTCACTGCTACTGACATTTGTCATGGCAGCCTGGACCTAAGTTTATTTATTCACCCAAGTTATTTACCTTGGTAACAAGTGTAACACAATTCAGTTACTTTGTAAAGTATAGGGGATGATTTTTTTGGAATAATTTTGTATGTAATTGTTTCCTACCATTTAGTGATTCCTCTCTTTTTCCACATATAAGGTTATTATTGGTATTAAGTATTTATTTCATGTGTGGCTTTACGTAAATGGACACTCCAGACCCATAAATCAATTTAGCTTGCTGAAAAGATTTGTGTGAAGAGTAAGTCCTGTTGTTTTTTTCATTTGGTAAATGGTGCAGATTTCAATAGATAAATAACATGATTTTACCATTCTCACTTTTCAAGCAGGCTTGAGGTCCTGTTACTTCTTGATGGCTTGGTTAGCTTAGTTGCACTGAACTTAACAGTCAGGCAATTGCTCAGAGCACCTCTCATTGAGCTGCATTGGGAAGTCTGTGATTGGACAGCCACATAGTCTGGGGGGTGTTAGAAGGGGAGGGCTTGCAAAGGCAACAGACAATAGAACTGCAGTTTTTGCACTCTGTTTTTAGATATAACTCCAATGAAAAAAAATGCATAGTTAAATGCATGTAAGTTTGCATTTGGGGTATATCTACTAAACAATGATATTTTGTATTTGGGAAGTGGAGTGTCCCTTTAAGTTAGATAGTAGGCACACTCTGGTAAACAAGGTTATATGAACAGTGTATCTCTTGTAGAAATGGTCTGCTTGCCAGCTGTGACCTGAATTAGGGACATATTACCTACGTTGCATTGCCATAAAAATCTATCTTTTACTTAAAGGATCACTATAGTGTCAGGAAAACAAAGCGGTTTTCCTGATACTATATAATCCCTGGGGGATCCTCATCCTCAGTGTCCTCCTCCCGTGGCACTGAAGGGGTTAAAACACCTTCAGCAGCTTAACTTAATCCAGCGCCGGGCTCCCTCATCTCCCCTGCCGACGTCATCTCCCGAGTGGAGCGGCATGCGCGGCAAGTGCTGCTCGCGCATTTAAACAGTCCATAGGAAAGCATTTCTCTATGGACACTGTGGGCAACAGATGTGAAGTTCGCATCCAGCATCGCAGATGAGCCAAAAGCGGCTGTCAGGAAGACAGCCACTAGAGGTTGGCTTAACCCGTAATGTAAACATAGCAGTTTCTCTGAAATTGCTATGGTTACATCTGAAGGGTTAAAACCTGAGGGACCTGGCACCCAGACCACTTCATTGAGCTGAAGTGGTCTGGGTGACTATAGTGTCCCTTTAAGTTACCATCCATGTTTGGACTTGCTTTCCTGGAACCCTGGAAGCACACATACTGAATTTATAATTTATTCAACCACTGAATCAATTGGTATCAACATAAAGCTTAGAACATTTTCCTTTGTTCCTCTAGATATGTATGTTTAATCATTAATAGAGGTGTATTTTTAATGTTTGAGTAAGGGCTCCTTATTGTTTTCTCCATTTTATTTGGGAATAGTAGTAATTTACCTACTTTGAATAGACGATCTGTGATCACATCCACATCATCTTGTAGTGGGCAAATTATCTAAAATGTACATGTGTGCTGTTTTAAAGTTTCACGTCAAACACTTATTAAAGATTTAATGTAAATAATTAGATCTAAATTTATGAATACACTGTATGCTTCCTGGTGCCCAGAGACTATCCTGTTAGCAAGGTTGATAATGTGGAATTAATACGAATGCAGCCCCTATCACTCAACCTAGAACCAACATCAACTACGTAAAAAATAAACACTGATAATGTGGAATTAATACGAATGCAGCCCCTATCACTCAACCTAGAACCAACATCAACTACGTAAAAAATAAACACTGATAATGTGGAAGTGTCAATTCCCCATCATAAAAGCAGCCAAGGGGAAAAAGCAAAAATGTAGAAGGACACCTTGGTTTTGTGTTAAACTATTTCTAAACATTTTTAATTTAAACTAGGGAACAGTGCCAGGACAAAGCAAGCTGTAGTGGTTAGTGTCCTTTTAATAATTTTATATGTTGTTGCATTCCTTTTTTTAGCCAGATCTAATTCATTAAATTGTGGCCTCTCAATAGTGGCATTGTGAGCACATGAAGATTATTAATACATTGGTTTTATGTGTATAAAAAGAAACACACTAGCTCTGGTATATGTAGAACATATTTTTGTAACCATAATAAACAAACAAGTATACCAAGTAGATTAAAGGACCACTCTAGGCACCCAGACCGCTTCAGCTTAATGAAGTGGTCTGGGTGCCAGGTCCCTCTAGGATTAACCCATTTTTTTATAAACATAGCAGTGTCAGAGAAACTGCTATGTTTATAAATAGGTTAATCCAGCCTCTAAAGCCTCTAGTGGCTGTCTCATTGACAGCCGCTAGAGGCGTTTGCGTGCTTCTCACTGTGAAAATCACAGTGAGAAGACGCAAGCGTCCATAGGAAAGCATTGTAAATGCTTTCCTATGAGATCGGCTGAATGCGCACGTAGCTCCTGCCGAAAAGGAGTAGAGGAGGCGGAGAGGAGGAGGAGAGCTTCCCGCCCGGCGCTGGAGAAAGAGGTAAGTTTAACCCCTTTCCTCTCCCCAGAGCCCGGCAGGAGGGGGACCCTGAGGGTGGGGGCACCCTCAGGGCACTATAGTGCCAGGAAAGAGTATATTTTCCTGGCACTATAGTGGTCCTTTAACTAGTTAGATTGTGCCTTTGGTAATATAATAATTATTTTCCTCAGAAATAAAAAGATAAAAAAGGGCTGTGCCAGTAGAAAATATAAAAAAAAAAAAAAAATTAATAGATTTTTGGAACAAGCAAGAAATAAGTCAATGTGATAGTCCTCACCAATAAATTTTCTTGTTGATGTATATAGAAAGTGAAAAGCAGAAAGGGCGGAAATAGTGTAAAACGTCAAATCTATGTAATTAAAAAATTACAGTATCACACTCACATTTTATAGAGCCTAAGCCGGCTCTAGCGTATGTAACGTGCAGTGGTATAATACCAACTTATAGGATATATTGGAGGTGTCCGTCTGGTTTACGATGACAGGAACCGGGGGAGAAATAGAAGAGGTGACAGTGCTCTCAATAAAATAAGTGATGTACATGATAAAAATAGTTAAAATATACTCACAAATATCGAGAAGACTAACTGCTCTATGGTGACAGTGTTGGTGGTTTGATCCCCACCTAGGATTGCTTTGGAGTAGAGATAAAAGATGCCAGGAAGTATGAAAACTGTATTAAAACTAAATAAAAAAGGTAATTGGCACAGCACACAAGTGTAGTGATCAAAATCCTTTAATAGTTAAAGGACCACTATAGTGCCCCCACCTTCAGGGTCCCCCTCCCGCCTGGCTCTGAGGAGAGGAAGGGGTTAAAACTTACCTTTTTTCGAGCACCGGGCGGGGAGCTCTCCGCCTCCTCTCCTCCCTTTCGGCTGAATGCGCATGCGCAGCAAGAGCTGCGCGCGCATTCAGCCGGTCTCATAGGAAAGCATTCATAATGCTTTCCTATGGACGCTGGTGTCTTCTCACTGTGATTTTCACAGTGAGAATCACGCAAGCGCCTCCAGCGGCTGTCAATGAGACAGCCACTAGAGGATTTGGAGGCTGGATGAAACTGCTATGTTTATTTTAAAAAGGGTTAACCCTAGCTGGACCTGGCACCTGGCATTAAGCTGGAGTGGTCTGGGTGCCTAGAGTGGTCCTTTAATATACTAAGTAGTAACATCCATTAACGCGTTTTCACCAGTATGGCTTTTTCAAATGGAGTAAAAAAAGTTGAATCTTGCTGCCATGCCAGCACCATGTAAAAATATTTTAGCAGGATGATGAAAAAATTGAAACTTCTTGCCCCTGCCACGTTCCTCTTTATCGCCTGTCTTAAGAGTCCTTTGCTCTGATGCACTTTTGCTCATGTATGTAAGTACAAAATGAGTTTAGGGAAGACCAGTGACGCAGAAGGATCCCTAAAGAGGATTTTGTGCAACCGCATTGCATGAGATGACATTGCGGTCTATGTCATATCAGAGGTTCCGATTTCCATCAGCCATCGCTCTCCTCTGCCATGTGTTGCCAAAAATCGCCACTTACATGACACAAAGTATTCTCTGTTTTTGTCTTGTGAACAAAATTCCTAAACAGCCTTTACGTGCTTTTCATAAAGATTCTATCTCGTAACTGTCCGTCCTGCTTTAAAAGATTGAAGTGAAATGAAAATTAAGTTTTTAAAATAAAAGTGATAGACCAGCTATATATTTGTTTGTGCCAGGATGATTCACATAAATGCATCTGTAGATGAAATATTAACCTAACATTGATTGTACCCTCTACAGTACATTTAAGAATAATTTATGTTTGCACTGTGTTTATATTTGTATTGATGCAGTAATTTTAGATAAAGATATTATTTTGGAGGGGAAGAAAATTCCCTATACTCCTGTATAAATCAGTGTTTTCTTAATTGGACTTAATTGGTCCAAGCAATATGGAATGGATTTAAACTTTCAATCATTTGTGTATTGATGCTAAACGCATTGTTGATAGAAGTGTCTTAATATGCATTACTGATGTTATGTACTAATAATTACATTACTAATGTATACTGATCCGTCCATGTACAACATTTGTTTACATTGCAGTAAGAAAATATTAATCTTCTCAGTAATTTGCTACTGTATTGTAGTAGGATTAAGCCAGTTACTGTACTTGACAAGATGTACTTAGATTTTAATTATTGATTGTTTAAAAGACTACAAAGAAGCACATGTATGTCACAATGTAACAGTATGAAGTTGGATGTAACCAAACATTTACTATTAAAAATCTGTTAAGCAGGTCTTGTGGTCTGAGTCTTGATACATAGTTGTATTGTTAAGGACATGCTAATTGATCATAATAAACATTTATATGTTTACAGTAGCTCTTCTGTGTGATCAGACCAGACATCGCGCTCCCCTACTCCCCTACTCCCCACGTGCATCAGTGAGCCATGGGCGCCCATGACCCTGGTGCCGGTCCACCGGTTGTCGTTCCATACATCACTTTTAGTAGGTACTAACCACTACATACCAGGAACATGCCTCAAGACTTGTCATTTTGTAAGTGCTGTGGCCCAGCCGTCTAGCCATCACTATTTGGCCCTTGTCAAAGTTACTCAGATCTTTTCGCTTAACTATTTTACCTGCTTCCAATATATGAAATTCAAGAACTGACTGTTCACTTGTTGCCTGATATGTCCCATCCAACAAGTGCCATTGTAACAACATAATCAACCTGCTGATGATACTAAGATATGTAACAGGGTTGATGTTCCAGGAGGGATAAGCCAAATGGCAAATGATTTAGGTAAACTAGAAAAATGGTCAGAGCTAAATACATAAATATTTCCATATATTATCATTCTTTTATATTTACGTGGCTATATTTTAATATAATGTCAAAGTCTATTTTGGACATCTATGAATAAAATTCTCCATTGAGTCCTTCTTTATTTGTATCATTATCAATAAAATTAAAGCTTATTTTACCTATAACTACGATTTGTAAAACTTCCTTTAATATGTATATTGTTTTAATATTATTATTATTTTTTTTTTATAACTTAATTTAGGGTGGAAGATGTTTTTTTTTTTCCTTTTTTTTTCCTTTTTCTCTTATACATGATTGCAAGGAGAGACTCTTTACATTCTTATAGAAACAAAAAGAGAATTTGAAGGACTAAGATAAAAACCATAAAAAAACAAAATACAAAATGAGAATAGAAAATGTAATATTAAAATATAAATAGAAAATCCTATTCAGAAGATTCCCGATACCATAGAATAAGGGTCAAATAGAATAAAGCATGTAAATAATGCAAGACTTCAGTAGACTAGTTCTAATCCAATCCTGAGAGCTACATGGATTTTTGATACGCCCTGTTTTAACAGTCAAAGTGTGAGTGATCCATTTGGCACATATTATTATAAGAGTATCATACGGAGTTGCACTATGTTATCTTTTATTTCCCTATAGTTGGATTGACCCATATTTGTATTCATGTATTTGTGGAAGATTTGAGGAGATCTTCGGGTTTAAATCTACAACTTAGAGGGAAGTTTTTTAATTCACATTTTTCATTCACTGGAGGCACTTGGTGTTATATACAATATTGGTGAAATTATAATATCACAGAGTGATATAGTGAAAGAGTCTGTATTTTTCTCTATAAATGTAATAGAGCAGCAGGAAATGCTAGCAGAATGCTTGGTTGTATAGGGAGAGGTATTGGCAGTAGAAAGAGGGAAGTGCTCATGCCATTGTACAGAACACTGGTGAGACCTCACTTGGAGTATTGTACATAGCACTGGAGATCGTATCTTCAGAAGGATATTGATACCTTAGAGAGGGTTCAGAGAAGGGCTACTAAACTGGTTTATGGATTGCGGGATAAAACTTACAAGGAAAGGTTAAAGGATCTTAACATGTATAGCTTGGAGGAAAGACAAGACAGGGGGGATGTGATAGAAACATTTTAAATACATAAAGGGAATCAACACAGTAAAGGAGGAGACTATATTTAAAAGAAGAAAAACTACCACAACAAGAGGACATAGTCTTAAATTAGAGGGACAAAGGTTTAAAAATAATATCAGGAAATATTTTACTTAGAGGGTAGTGGATGCATGGAATAGCCTTCCAGCTGAAGTGGTAGAGGTTAACACAGGAAAGGAGTTTAAGCATGCGTGGCATAGGCATAAGGCTATCCTAACTATACGATAAGGCCAGGGACTAATGAAAGTATTTAGAAAATTGGGCAGACTAGATGGGCCGAATGGTTCTTATCTGCCGTCACATTCTATGTTTCTATGTCAGTGGTTTTAATGTTGTGGCTGATCCAGTTGCGTACACGCGACCCATGGGGCCCCGGTGCGAAAATTGATCCGTGGGCCCCCCCCCCTGCTTACTCTGCGCGGGCCAGGGCAGCAACACATGGTGGCAGGCATCTGCTCGCATCGGAGCTGAGGCAGATTGGGGAGGAGGGATCCCCAGCGCCAAGGGAGTCCGGCGCTGGAGAAAGGTAAGTGCTGAAGGGGTTTTAAACATACATACTCTCACGAACAGACGCATACACACTAGCTAACAGACACACACATTTACTGACAGAGACACACTCAGCGACATACATACATTCTCACTGACAGACAGACACACATACACACTCACAAAACACTCTCACTGACAAACACACACTCACTAACAGACATCAAACAGACTCACTAACAGACACACACACACTCACTGACACACTGACACTCACTAGCAGACACACACTCAATAACAGACACACTCAGCTGGGCAGAGAGCGCAGGGGAGAGTGCTCCCTCGCACGCCCGCCAGACAGACAGACAGCCCGGTGACACCAGGTCCAGCCTCGGGAAGAAGAGGCTGGCCACACTGGCGTGCATACCGGGTCGCAGGGCAGCCGGGCCCAGTCACAGCTGCGACCCCGGTATGTATGGCACTGGGCTGGTCAGTGTGTTTACATATATATATATATATATATATATATATAATATATACCCACACACACACGTTGTAATAGTTTCAGTATTGGAACGCAGATGACTGGAGATTTCTTGGGAGTGGGAGAGCAGGTACCTTTATTACTTGTTTGATTCTCAGCTAGAATAGTCATAAATCAATGTTCATGACACATGTTATATGTAAGTACAATACGTCTGACCTATTCTTTTAATATTATCAATGCAGTTTATTTGTATTTGCTTTGCATGAATAAATTCTGCCTGTCTCTAATTTTTTTGGAACTTTGCCCTTCCTGATATTTGAGACAAATCATTAAGAAAATCCATAAAATTCTTGACTGTGTTTTTCACATTTTTACTCTTAGACATTCGAGTTCTGAAGGCTTTATACATTATAAGTGTATGGTAAGCTCTATGCATTTTTTCACTAATATTCCCGGACAGTATAGGCACCGTGACTGCTTCATCTCATTAATGTGGTTATAATGTCTAGAGTCCACTGTCGCCATCCTTCCATTCAGCATTTAACTGATTTTATTGTTTTAATGATAAACAACAGCTTTATGCTTGAGCAGCTGTGATTGGCTGAGAATATCAACTGACTTAATTCAGCTTATCACAGTGCCCATTGCAGATCTGAATCAGTCTGCCTCCAGAGGGGGTATGCTATGGGAAGCCAAGGACCCTGACTTAATGTTAAACTGCTTGAAAAGCTTTTAACTCTAAATGAAGAGACAGTGTTAGGGAACTCCAGGCACTATAACTAATTTAATGAGATGGAATGGTTATAGTTCCTACAAGTGCCTCTTTAAGTCCTTTGGACAAAGGTGCCCATTTGTTTTTCTCCGTAACACGTTTATTGAGCATGTACTGCATAGAGATTACGTCACATTCCATTTTGTCCATTCTCAGGGTTCTCATATTCTCTGTATTTGTTGCAACACATTCCATTGGTGTATCACAATCAAATGACAACTATACAGTAGTGATATAATGTACCTCAATTTAAAAATACACTAATGCAGTGGTTTCCAAACTGTGATATTTTCCTGGTGCTATAATCATAGCACCGGGAACTGTGCTCTCCCTCTCCGACCCCCTAGCACTTTGCTGCAGCCAGCATGGGAGGGAGGGAGACAGGACCCGGGGGAGCTCTAACCTGCAGCTCCGCCAGGTCCTCCTCTCGCGAGCTCTGAGCGTTGCTGCGGTTACCACAGCAACGCTCCGAATCTTGGGAAAGTGAACTCTAGCAGCTCCTGAGGCTGCTAGAGCTTACTCTCACCACTGGGACCACCAGGGCTTCCCCACCGGACCACCAGGGATTACAGGAAATGTCCTCCCTCCCAGGCAAAGGTAAGCAGGGATGGGGGATATCATTTTTATTTTAAATAAAAAAAATCAAATAAAGTATATATTTATTAATTTGCCCTCCTACCTCCACAGACCCCACACCACACAATAGCTCACCCATACACAAATACTGCCCCCCCATACACACACACACTATTCCCCATACACACACACTATCCCCATACACACAATTACCACCCCATGCACACACTACCCCCACACACACTGCCCCCCCATACACAAACTATCACACACACACTACCCCGTCATACACAAAATTACTCCCCATACACACACACTGCACCCCCATACTGCCCCCATACACACTGCCCCCCACACTGTACCCCCCACACTGCACCCCCCCACACACACTGCACCTCCCTACACACACTACACCCCACACACACACATTGTACACACATTGTACCCCCCACACACACTGTACCCCTCATGCACAAACTGCCTGACATACACACACACTGCACCCCTCACACACACACACAAACTACATCCTTCACAAACACAATGCACCCCTGTACACACACAGCACCCCTCACACACACATGCACACTGCAACCCTCACGCACACACTCCACCACTCACACACACATATTGCACCACACACTACAGCCCCTGTCCTGGCAGGCCCCCAGGTAAGTTGTCAAACTGTTCAAACTGGGAGGGCACTACGGCACTATAACCACTACAATGTAATGTAGTGGTAATTGTGCCTGGATTGTTTCTTTAAATAATCTACCAGTGCCACTTCCAAGATTAGGGGCCCAGTATATGCCGCTGTACATATATACAAACCAGAAAATTGTTTTGACTCAGGGTGCCTTGAAAAAATATTGAAATATTAAGGGCACCTTGAACCTAAAAAGTTTGGGAACTACTGCCCTAATGTTAAGTTTGCAACTAGTAATAGAGAGAAAAGGCTAGGGAAGGTAGGATGCAGGGCCGGACTGGCCCACCGGGATACCGGGAAATTTCCAGGTGGGCCGCGGCATCTGAGGGCTGCGCAGGTATGGTCCGGTCCGGTGGCACACTCAGAGGGGGGCGGCCGCGTCCCACGCTGGATCCGCTGGGCCGGGTGGCAGCCTCGCCGGTCCAGCGGCACTCCTAATGCTGAGGACTGAAGGAGGAGGGAGCATGTCTCTCTACCATGCTCCCTCGCGGTTCCCACAATTCCCAGCACAGCATACTGATACAGCTGTGAATTGTGGGAACCGCGGGGGAGCATGGTAGAGAGACATGCTCCCTCCTCCTTCAGTCCTCAGCATTAGGAGTGCCGCCGGACCCGCGAGGCTGCCACCCGGCCCGGCGGCTCCAGCGTGGAACGCGGCCAGCCCCCCTGACTCCTCTCAGGTAAATGGGGGGATGGGCGGGGGAAGGGAATATAGAGACACAAGGGGAGGGGGAAAATAAAACAGAGAGAGGGTGAATAGATAGACACAGGGGAAGAAAATGACAGTGGGAGAATAGAGAGAGACATAGGGGGAGGGAGAGTGCTACAGGGAAATAGGGGAGAAAGAGACAGTGGGAGAATAGAGAGAGACAGAGGGGGAGGGAGAGTGCCACAGGAAAAGGGAGGAGAAAGAGACAGAGGGGGGAGAGTGAGACACAAGGGGAGAAAGAGGGGGAATAGAGAGATGTAGAGAGAGGGAGAAAGGAGAGAACACACAAGGAGGGGGGAGAAAGAGGCAGAGGGGGAAGAGAGAGACTGGGAAGGAGAGGGGAGACATGGACACAGAGCAGCAGTGAGGGGGGAGAAAGAAACATACAGAGGGACTGGGGAGACAAAAAGGCACACAGAGGGGCTGTATATATCACTGGTGGATTATGGGGGGCAACGGGCAACTGTTCCCCCCCCCCCCAGAGGCTCTCCCCTGCTAGCCAATGCAGGGCTGGCACTGTCCAAGCCTCATGTGCCTTCATGGACCGGAGGGGAGATCAGAGATCTCCCTCCCCGTTCCACAGGCACCGTGCAGGCAGCCGGCAGGGGAGGGAGGAAGAGAGGACCCGGGAGCTCAGCCTGCAGCTCCTCCGGGTCCTTCTTGCGCGAGTACAGAGCGTTGCCGCAGTTACAGCGAAAATGCTCCGGCTCTCGCGAGAGTGAACTATAACAGATGCTATTCTGGGAGCAAAGTGCTAAACGTTGAGAGCCATTCTTAGCGTTTCTATGGTGACCAATCCTAATTTAGCTCTTTGTCCCAGAATAGCACCTGTTTCTGCCTTGATAAATCTCCTCAGCATGTCTTAAATTCTAATCCACCAAATGCACACAAATATACAGAAAAGACAAGGTGTGATGGAATAGAACGCATTTACTATTGTGTATCATTTTTATGTGAGAAACTTTTTTGCATTTCAGAGAAATACCTGATAATCCATAATACAGGGAGTGCAGAATTATTAGGCAAGTTGTATTTTTGAGGATTAATTTTATTATTGAACAACAACCATGTTCTCAATGAACCCAAAAAACTCATTAATATCAAAGCTGAATATTTTTGGAAGTAGTTTTTAGTTTGTTTTTAGTTATAGCTATGTTAGGGGGACATCTGTGTGTGCAGGTGACTATTACTGTGCATAATTATTAGGCAACTTAACAAAAAACAAATATATACCCATTTCAATTATTTATTATTACCAGTGAAACCAATATAACATCTCAACATTCACAAATATACATTTCTGACATTCAAAAACAAAACAAAAACAAATCAGTGACCAATATAGCCACCTTTCTTTGCAAGGAGACTCAAAAGCCTGCCATCATGGATTCTGTCAGTGTTTTGATCTGTTCACCATCAACATTGCGTGCAGCAGCAACCACAGCCTCCCAGACACTGTTCAGAGAGGTGTACTGTTTTCCCTCCTTGTAAATCTCACATTTGATGATGGACCACAGGTTCTCAATGAGGTTCAGATCAGGTGAACAAGGAGGCCATGTCATTAGATTTTCTTCTTTTATACCCTTTCTTGCCAGCCACGCTGTGGAGTACTTGGACGCGTGTGATGGAGCATTGTCCTGCATGAAAATCATGTTTTCTTGAAGGATGCAGACTTCTTCCTGTACCACTGCTTGAAGAAGGTGTCTTCCAGGAACTGGCAGTAGGACTGGGAGTCGAGCTTGACTCCATCCTCAACCCGAAAAGGCCCCATAAGCTCATCTTTGATGATACCAGCCCAAACCAGTACTCCACCTCCACCTTGCTGGCGTCTGAGTGGGACTGGAGCTCTCTGCCCTTTACCAATCCAGCCACGGGCCCATCCATCTGGCCCATCAAGACTCACTCTCATTTCATCAGTCCATAAAACCTTAGAAAAATCAGTCTTGAGATATTTCTTGGCCCAGTCTTGACGTTTCAGCTTGTGTGTCTTGTTCAGTGGTGGTCGTCTTTCAGCCTTTCTTACCTTGGCCATGTCTCTGAGTATTGCACACCTTGTGCTTTGGGCACTCCAGTGATGTTGCAGCTCTGAAATATGGCCAAACTGGTGGCAAGTGGCATCGTGGCAGCTGCACGCTTGACTTTTCTCAGTTCATAGGCAGTTATTTTGCGCCTTGGTTTTTCCACACGCTTCTTGCGACCCTGTTGACTATTTTGAATGAAACGCTTGATTGTTCGATGATCACGCTTCAGAAGCTTTGCAATTTTAAGAGTGCTGCATCCCTCTACAAGATATCTCACTATTTTTGACTTTTCTGAGCCTGTCAAGTCCTTTTTTTGACCCATTTTGCCAAAGGACAGGAAGTGGCCTAATAATTATGCACACCTGATATAGGGTGTTGATGTCATTAGACCACACCCCTTCTCATTACAGAGATGCACATCACCTAATATGCTTAATTGGTAGTAGGCTTTCGAGCCTATACAGCTTGGAGTAAGACAACATGCATAAAGAGTATGATGTGGTCAAAATACTAATTTGCCTAATAATTCTGCACTCCCTGTACTGTATACAAATAATTAAATTATATTAACATTAAAAAAAAGAATATTAATAAATAAAAAAAAAGAATATTAATAAATAAATAAGACAAGGTCACATCTACAAATCTGGGTAATGCAGTTTGTAGATGTGATGAGATCAGATGTCTTGGAAAAGCCCAGGAGGTGAATTAAAGGAGGAGGGGACAGTGACAGCCAGGGATGCAGTGAGTCTATCACTGGATGGGGAGCAGCTGGGCTACCAAAATAGGATGTGCTATTCCCTCCCCACAGCAAACAGACCTCTTCCACTCTGTGTCTGTGAGCAGCTCTTTCCAAACATGGACAACAAGGAGGCGCTGTATCCAATGGTATCAGTGTATGAAACATTGCTCAGGATTGAATAGCTACATTCCCTATCTGATCACATTAACACTTCATCACCCACGGAGGAGAGCTCAGTGCATAACAGGTAAAGGTCTGACCTTGTTATACTTCCTGCAGATCTCTTATAGAATGCATTTCACTATGGGGAACATGATTTGGATGATAAATGTGAGATCACACAGTGCAGCATTAATACTCTATAGACAAAGAAGTGCAGCTCAGTACTCACTCACAATGGCTCAGCCATTCAATCCATAACACACGGGGGGTTATAATGTGCAAATAGAAACCACTTGCAGAGTACATTAAATTCATTGTCTTCTGGGGGAAATTATCTGCAATTGGTTTGATTTCTATAGGAAACATTAGCCAGGATAGTAAATCAGGGGAATGCAAGGCAATTTGCCTTTTTATGCATAGCCATAAAATGGGTAAAAATGCACAGTTCATAAAAAAAAAAAAAAATGTAAAAATGCATTTTGTGGGTTTACATTGCACAACCTGCAGTTTCTTATATGACCTGTCAGTTTTTAGTTTTTTTTTTAAATTTGATTAAAATAAAAGGTATTGTGACACTTTACAAAACACGAAGCGACTGATTATTCATTTGGAAGATAAAAGATAGGATGTGAAGCGTTCTGGCACACAGCTGGTTAATCGATTTGCATTGATTGTCAGATGGTGTATCTGGCACCTGAGTCAGGCAGAGGGCACTGTGCCATGCTGTCAGTGGGAGGGGTGTTATTTTGTGTCCAGGCTGCTCTCTCATAGCCCCAGGAGTTCCTGAAGTGGAGGTATTGGTGTTTGTGGTAAATGGATTTACTCTGATTATTTCTCATGTATATGACATGCTTGGGTTGTGGTTAAAATATACAGATGTATTTATTATTTTAGTTTCATTGTGATTTTATGAACTTACTGGAGCTGAAGATATATGTTTAGGGAAACAGAAATTGTCCAGTTATACAATGTGTGATGTGACAATTCTTCCTGCAGATGGCCCATTTAAAGCACGGGTGATCAAAGTGTAACTGACCTGACTACAACTCCAATTATGCTTTACATTATCCATGGGAAAGCATGTATTCTGTCTGCCTGCCTGTTTTCCTGTCTATATTCTCTGTCCATCTGTCTGCCTACCCAAAGAAATCAAAGAAATTCGGGTGGATCTTACAGTGCATGGGTGTAGAAAATCAATTTTATGACAAAATAAACTATTTATATGAACAAGATCATTAATATGCTAATCATAATACTATCAATTAATTATTCATCTTTAAAAGTGTGTGTGTGTATACACACACACACACACAATATATATATATATATATATATATATATATATATATATATATATATTTATTTATTTTTACAAGTGTGTACAAATCCTGGACAGGAAGCCAAAAATAGATGGCTTCCCTGGAAACTAGGAACAAGCAGTAGGCATACTTTCTAGGTTAGTGCAACATTGTTTCTGCTTATTTTAGGCAATGGTTCTTTTTTTTTTTTTGTGAGGGAGAAGAGGGAAAATACAGAGCCTCATGCACTTGACTACAGGAATAACAGTGATGGTTCCCTTCTGTACTTTTTGAGAACTGAAAAGAGGTTCCAGTACCGCTGTGCTGGTGACTATAGAAAAACGTTGGTCTCAGACTTAAAGAGTTTTTCACTAAAAAAGAGAATTGTTGAGAATTCAAATTGAATTTCCAAATTAAACCAACTGGATAAATATCAAAGCATAAAATACAGGGATATAACTTTTAATTTGTGAGGTCATAGCTTCTTGATTCAAGGAGATATCTGACTGCCATTCTGGGATTGAGAAGGAATTTTTTCTAGTTTGTTGCAAAATTGAAAAGTGCTTCAGACTGTTTTTTTTTGCCTTCTCTTGGATCAGCAGCAAAAACTGATGCGAGAAAGCCTTTCAGT